ATGTGAAAAACATTACCATTGAAATCTACCTGATGACTTTATATCCATGCTCAGATGCCAAAGAGCTCAGAAAGTAACCGACTGTGCCTAGTAATAATCAGATATATAGAGATTAGAAACACATATGCATCTTAGTGTTAGTTGTATTAAAAATGAATTTTTCTGTATGAAACTGTGTATTTTAATAATGAAATGGAGATCTTTTTTCAAAGTTTAAAACCTCATTTAATCTTATGTCTCATAGGGTTTATTTGGAGTGCAATATTGTAAATTGTTAAAAAATTAATAATAATTTTTAAAAATTTACAGCCAATTTTGAAAGAGCTGCATCTTAGCTCTGGAAACTGTTATTGAATATGTCAATGCTGTTGTAATGAAATGCCTCTTCTAATTATATGGTTATTAAATAAATAGTTAAAAAAAAAATAAGGCCATTCCAATTGTCCTTTTAGGAAGAAACACTGAGGTCTGGAGAGATGGCTCAGCAGTTAAGAGCACTGCCAGCTCTTACAGAGGACCTGGGTTTGATTCCCAGCACCCACGTGGCAGGTAACAACCATCTATAACTCCAGTTCCAGGGGATCTGATGCCCTCTTCTGACCTCCAAGGGCATTGAACAATGGGTGCACCTACCTACATGCAGGAATTACACTCGTACACATAAAATAAAAAAATAAAATATAAAGAAACTCTGGTGATTTGTACATTATTGTAAATTCAAAATCGAGTCTGTTGTTCAGTTTGAACACCCACGATCTAATATTTGTTCAGGTTTTTTGGAGACAGGATCTCCTGTAGCCCCAGCTGACCCAAAGCTTAGATCAGGCTAGCTTTGATCTCACAGAGATCTGCCTGCCTCTGCCTCTGGAGTGCCACCACGCCGGGCAACTTGTTCAGTTCTTAAACTGTGCACTTTTCCTTTTGACCCACAATTCTGGGCGTTAGTACTGTTCTTTGAGATTCCTGATGCATCTCCTCTGACGAGCACTCATCGTCATGGACTGTGTGTTTTCTTACTGCTGTTCTGTTATCTGGAACAAAGAAGAAACCTACAGATTGAGGTTCTTTCCAAACTGGAAGCAACTTCGGTGGAGCGGGCTTCTACTGGTTTTCAAATTCCTCATGTCTTTGGTGGGAGGTGGGAAAACAGCATAGGAAGAGAGTATTAGAGAAATCCTCCAATACTGACTGCACCTGCAGGTAGAAATGTGCATCCTGGCCAGTCCCAGTTTGCTTTTCCCAAGATTTCTCTCTGTAACAGACACCCGATATGTACAGCATAATATATTTTTTTTTTTGTCTTTATTGAGACAGGGTCTCCCTGTAGCCCCAGCTGTCCTGGAACTCACTATGTAGACCAGGCTGGCCTTGAACTCACAGAGATCCGCCTGCCTCTGCCTCTGCCTCCCAAGTGCTGGGATTAAAGGCGTGCGCCACCACGCCTGGCATAGCCTAATCTTTTAACAGATACACGTGCCAGAGAAAGCACCTGATCACTGACATGTGTCATTGTAACTGCTGACTACACGTATTAGCTACTTATTTCTGTGCACTGTTTCCTTTTTCCCAGATCTATTTGTGGATGAAAGTTGTAGATAAATGAACTTTTTGAGTGCCAGCTTTAAGTGCTTGTGAAATATCTTGAGACTGATAGTGAAAATAACATCTGAAACCGCAGTGGTCTGGTGGGTAATAAAGAATGTGGCCTGTCCCAGGCAAGATGGCCGTGACCACCCCAGCCATGAGGCTTGCCCCCAGGTCTTTGTTTTTGAGGCAGGGTTTGTTCTGTTACCCAGCTGGCTTTGACTGTCTGATCCTCCTGTTTCAAGTCTTCTGCAGCCAATGACCTTTTATTAACAAAAATGTATCTGCTTCAAATGGATTCTAGACCTTACAGCATTTAAAAAAAATATAAAACAGCATCATGATGTCTTTTTAATTTCTTGAATAGGTGAGAAGTGGTGTTGGAAACGTAGGAAAAATGGGCACACAACCATCAAACCTAATAGACATACAGATAACCCCGACAGGGATTCTTACAGTACAGGGGCAGGCAGCACTTTCCTTCCTGAAACCATACCTGGTAGATGGGGCAAAAACAAGCATTCTTTATATTACACCAATGAAAATATTATGGGCCAGTATGAGTTTTCACATTTTGTGCCTATATGTAATATGGACTTTACGGGGACCAGTGTCCACAAAATTTCATTCAGATGGGAGATGCAAATCGGGTTAAGCAGCACAGCATAGCACATGGCCATGGCCGTGTACAGGGCATGCAACGTCTATGGTGTGGTTGTAGGGGTCTCAGCTGGTCCAAACTGAGTGTAAGCTAATGGTGCATGCATCAGATCTGAAACAGTACTGACTCTAGCTTCCACAGGACTTACACATTATCAAGGATAGTACACATATCACCTCACCCCCAGTATCTGTGAGATCAGTTCCAGGATCTTGAGGTACCAAAAATTCTTAGGTGCGCAAGTCCCCAATGGCACAGCATTTGCGTATTTCCTACATATCCTCCTGTACGTGTTAAATGATCCCTAGATGACTTAGAATACGTAATGCAGTATAAATGCTGTACACGGAACTGTTTCGCTGCAATGTTTGGGGAGTAATGATCAAAACATACTTGTTCAGCACAAATGCAGTCTTTCTGATCAGCAGCTGGCCAAGCCTGGAGACAGAACCTGCAGCTGTGAAGGGCAACTCCACAGACACCAGGGCTCATAGGAATGTACAGTCCAGGCACTTTGTTGGCCTAGCTGCTGTTTCCAACTCTGGCTTTTTTTTTCAGTTATCCTGGCCAGAATCCCTCCTAATGGTCCCAACTGCTTTTAATGTCATCCTTTATACATCCACCAGTTATCCCAGATTAAAATACAAACAACAACAACCAAATCACATCCACACATAAATGGACCAGCTATTTAAAATTCAATGGGAGAGAACCTCCTGGACAGCTAGATTTCATTCCTTTAAAATCTATGTGTTGGATCTAACAGCTGGTTTTCCATTCCCCTGAGAGCAAGCTTAAAATGCACAGGGCTTGGGTGAAACGTTTTGGTGACTGAGTAATACTCTTACCGAATGGGAAACAGTTTTTGTAAACTACGTAAGAGTGACAAATGCACAGAGTTTCAGTCTGACTTTAAATAGCATCCCCTTTGACCCAGTCAAGCGATGCCCATGAGGTGAACATTCTGCAGGAGAATGTCTTCAAAGTAGACAGGCCATACTTTCGTCAGCAGGTCAAACGCCTAACGTTGTCCTCTTATCCTTGTTACTGACTGTCACCCAGTGACTGAAGTCTTTTTCGCCATGGTCTGGTGGGAGTACCCTCTGAGCCACAGGAGTGTGGACCTGTGCTGTGTCCCTGCGTGTCCTCTCAGGGCTCCTGGGCCCCTCACCTGAAGGGTCAGAGCTCTTGAGTAACCAGGTATCATTCAACAGCTTAGGGTGGTGGAGAAGGCTCCAGAAGGGATCCTGGTAATCGCCAAGAGGAGAGGCTGCCTCGGGCCTCATCATTCTGGGGCCATCAGTTTCAGGGCTTATGGCGGTTGAAGTGCCAAGAAAACCCACTTGTGGACAGAGTGGATCTGGATCAGGCTGGAGTCCAGGTGGGCAGCTGCTGGAGCATGTGAGGCTCTGGAGAAGTTGGCTGTTGCTCTGCAGGACCTGCATGTGGAAGGCTGCTGGGGCAGACTTCTTCCTCCTCGGGGGCACCCTGGGTGCCAGAGATGGAGCCTCTGGAGGTGGTAGCTCGGTGGCTCCTGTCATGGGAGGGGCTTCTACTGCTAGCTTGCTGCTGCTGGGCCTCCTCTCAACACCTTTCCCAGGCTGAAATGTTCTTGGTTTGGGAACGGGTGGAACTCGAGGGGCTGCCACTGGAGGAGGGGTCTCAAGGCCCATGTCCAGGGGGCCGATGGTAAAATGGACAGGCTGCGGCTCAAGCTGTTCTTCCGGTGGCGTGGACTGAGAAAGGGCAAGACAGAGCATAGTGAGAAGTCAGCAGATGGGAAATGGGCACGCAGAGAACACTCGGAAGGGATCAGAGATGAGCCAGGCTGAGCCAGCCAGTTTGAGATCAGACTGAAAGGCCAGCGCTGTGAAGAGGCGCGGAGAAGCCCACAGCCCAGCAAGGGCAATGAACAATGAGTGGAAGTTTTAAAACCAGGGCCACAGAGGGTAATTTGCAACCAAGTTGTCTGACAAAGTGGGTAGCGCTCTTCCCTTATGCACAGAACCTCTCTGAAAATGCTCTTTTTGAGGCTACGGCGGGAACAGGTGATTCGGTGCACACCGTGAACCGTGCTGGGGGAGCGTGGTCGAGCGCAGAACCCACTCAAGGACCAACAGGACCAACGGCTGTGCTCTCTCCTTGAATCTTTTGCCTTTAAATTTAGACAAAGGGAGAGCTTTACGCCAGGACGTCACTTCTGTATCTCTGCCTTAAAACTGCACATGGCAAAGTGAAGCAGCTGGGGCTAGCAGTAGCTCAGCACTGGGTTCTCGTGTTTCCTTTGGAGCTTTAGAAAATGGATTGAAAACGTAATCTTTCTCCCACCAGCCTCACACCAAACCACTGCAGCCACGGGAGGATGAATCCAGTTCTGCTCCTGGCTTTGGAAAGCAACGACAGAGCGAGTACACAGAAGAGGAAGAGGAAAGAAGGCCATTTTGTAAGAAAGAAGGGAAAACGGACAGGCAGCTGCTAGCCAAAGCAGGACAGAAGCAAAGCACACTCACAAAACACAAAGCAAGCTCGGTGCAGGGCCACGTGACAGAGCGACCGCACTGGGCAGCTGGACAAGCAGCAATCACTCTGTGGCACCCAGGCAGGGATTACCGAGTAGCCCGCTCCTAGAACTGGGATCAAACAGAAGATCCAGAAGTGTCTACGGGTGCCAGTCTCTGGGCAGCTACCGTCCTTACAAACTCATGTCTTTGCAGCAGTAAGCAAGGCGGAGGAGCTTGCGAGCGAGAGCAGAAAACGATCTGCAAGAAAAGTGGTAAGAGAGCTGTGGGGCCTCCAGGAGACCGTGGCCATGTGAGTGCAGGGCAAAGCTGCTAATCTAGGAGCCAGTTAGTGTTCCCTGTGTGTGGAGGGGGGTGCTGTATGTTTGTGATGTCTGTGTGTGGAGGGGGTGCTGTATGTTTGTGATGTCTGTGCCATCAAGGCAAGGGGTCAGGAGGTGGACACGCCTGTGTCCAGGAGGCCAGGAAGATGGTGGATGTCCTGCTCTCTCATTCTGTGCTGTATTCCTTGGAGCTAAGGACTCTCATAGAGCCTGGAGCTAAGCTGGAGCTAGCTAAGCCCCAGCAATCCTCCTGTCTCTGCCCTTGTCTCCGGGGTTACAGGTGCATGTGTGTCTACATCCCACTTTTTATGTGAGTGGCAGGATCGAAACTTGTGACCTCATGCTCGCACAGCAAGTGCTCTTTCCCACTAAGCCATCTCCCCAGCCCCCTGGTTAGTGATTTTCTAATGCACACACACCACCACAAACAAGTGGCAGCACTGAACCGCTTGGGAGAAAGCATCTCATAGGCATTGCCTGTGGAACTCAGAACTCAGGAAGCAGCGATTCTGAGCCATTCACAGCTGTCATGGTGAGCATCTGGGAAGGAGAGTCAGCTCCCTGTTCTGCCCAGCAGAGGCAAAGATGCAGCAGGGAGATGAGGGGAAAGTGGTTGCCAAACAAACCTTTTTCCTGCTAGAGGTAGCTGAGTCTGGGTTGCAGGTGTGGGTGGAAAAACCAAATTCACCAGACTTTTGTCTTTGATAAAGGGCAATTTTGGAGTGATCAGCTCACAGGGCTTGAATCTTACCTTTCCTGTCCTCCTCAACATTGGCTTCTTGATGGCGGGAACCCTGGGTGCAGGCCGACGGGGCAGGACTGGGGGCCCTAGGGAGGTCTCTGGTTTGGTCCCCCCCAACACAGGCTCTGGCTTGAAGGATCCTTGGTCTCTGGGGGCCATGGCATTTGGGGCTGCTTCTGGGATACCTGAACCATAAAATCACACAGCTCAAGTGCAAGGACAGTGGAATTCACTGCACAAATGAAACTTCAGACAGTCTGTATCTCAACGATGACTTATTAATTCAGTGTATTTCCTTGTAGCTGCAAAGAAATCCTTATGGTTTGACAGAACTAGGCAGCTAGGTCTGCTTCCTTATGGTTTGACAGAACTAGGCAGCTAGGTCTGCTTCCTTATGGTTTGACAGAACTAGGCAGCTAGGTCTGCTCCCAGCTTCACACACTCACCTCCACAGGGGTAGGGCCTGGGACACATGGGCCCTGTGGAGAGATCAGTGAGACCCTGGCACCATATAAAAAATTTCACATATACCTGTATTTCTCAAGGGAGAAGGTCCATATGCATCAACATTTCAATAGGAGCAGACCAAGAACATGTTTCATTGAGATGGTGGGTAGATTTCAAGCCTCAAAGCTCTATAAACACGTGTATCTCCAGAGTTGCTTTCTTTTTAAATAACAGTTTTGTTGAAATATAATTTACCGACCTATAACTACCTAATTCCCAATAAAGGAGGCAAAAACATATGTTGGAGAAAAGACAGCCTATTCAGTTAACGGTGTTGGCAAATTGGACTTCTACCTGAAGAAGAATGAAACTAGATCCATAACTTTCACCTTGCATAAAAATTAATTAAAAATGGATCAAAGACCTTAATTTAGAACCTGAAACTTCTAGATGAAAATATAGGGAATACTCTTCAGGACATTGGGGTAGGCAAGATCTTTCTGAACAGACCATCAATAGCACAGGAACTAGCGCCAAGTATCAACAGATGGGACTACGTGAAATTAAAAGGCCTCTGCACAGCAAAGGACACTATCAGCAGAGCACACAGACAACACACAGAATGGGAGAAAATCTCTACTAGCTCATCAGATAAAGAGAAAATATTCAGAACATACAAAGAACTGTTAAATATCAAGGAAATAAAATGACCAGTCAACAAGTGGGCCAATGAACTGAATAGACAGTTTTCAGAAAAAGAAACACAAATGGGCAACAACTATTTTAAAAGGTGTTCAACATCCCTAGTCATCAGGGAAATGCAAATTAAAACTACTTTGAGAGACTACCTTTCCCCAGTCAGAATGGCTATTATCAAGAAATTTGACACTAAATGCTGAAGAGGATGTGGAGAGAGGAAATCTTATTTATTGTTGGTGGGAATTTATTGGTAGTCATTATGGAAATCAGTCTGGAGGTTCCTAAAAAGATTAAAAATAGAGCTACCAGCCAGGTGTGGTGGCGCACACCTTTAATCCCAGCACTTGGGAGGCAGAGGCAGGTGGATCTCTGTGAGTTCAAGGCCATCCTGGTCTCCATAGTGAGTTCCAGGACAGCTGGGGCTACAGGGAGACCCTGTCTCAAAAAGACAAACAAACAAACAAAAAAAATAGAGCTATCATATTACCCAACTATCTCACTCTGGGGCATATACCCAGAGAATGCTCTACTTTACTACAGAGATATTTATATATCATGTTTATTGCTGTTCTATTCATATAGCAAGGAAATGGAACCAATCTAGCTGTCCATTAGCAGGTGAATGGATAACGAAAATCTGGCACATATATAAAATGAAATACTATTCAGCACTAAAGAAAAATGAAATTACACAATTCACAGGAAAATGGATGGACCAAGAATGTGTAATATTAAGTGAGGTCACTTAGTCTCAGAAAGCAAAAAAAAAACACATGTTCTCCCTCATATGTAGATCTCAGTCTATAATGTAAACATGGACATATATAAACAAATACCTGTGTTGGGGTGTTATAATATTTAGACATAGGAACAATAAAGGGTAATTTTAAAAAGCATAGATTTTTTTTTTGTGTGTGTGTGGATATGTGAATTTAACTTTCTGGGTACTGAAGTAGCAAGAACCGTTTCTGCATTCCAGTATGCGTGCTCCTTTTAAGGCAGGGATTGTGAAAGGTGGGCTTTCTTTTTAATTGCATTGACCATTAATGCAATAGAAATTAGACATGAATACATTTTTCACATTAACCCACTTAGAAAAAGTAACTTTTTTGTTAATTTGTAACCTGAAATTTTTCCTTTTTGTCTGTTTAAAACTAATCAAAAAATTCTATTACACTGTTAATTAATACATAAATTGTACAGCTTACATAAAGTATGGTTTAAAAAAAGAAATAAAACTCACCTACTGTAAAATTTATCCATTGTAAGTGCACATTTAAGCCTCCCAAAGCAGCACAATCATCACTACTATCCAGTTCTAGTGCACTTTTGTTATGCTAAAAGGAAACCTCAGAGCATTTCAGTCATGCTTCACTCCCTCTTTCTAGCATGGACAGCACTAACAACCTTCTTGCTCTACGGATGTAGAGGTTTGAATGAGAATGTCCCCCATAGGCTCCAAGTATCTGGACATTTTTTCCCCAGTTGGTGGCACTGTTTTGGGAGGTCTTAGAAGGTGTGACTATGCTGGAAGAAGCACGTCACTGGGGGTGGGCTTAGAGAGCCCTGAAGCCTTGCCAGATCTCCAGTTGCCCTCTTGCTTCCTGTGCCTGCTTGAAGATGTAGAACCTAGCTCCTCTTCCTCCTCCAGTCACCTCTGCCACCATGCCTCCCTGCCATGATGGACTCTTACCTCTTTGGAACCATAAGTGCAAATAAACTCTTCCTTCTATAAATTGCTTTGGTCAGTGTTTCTATCACAGCAACAGAAAAGTAACTAATACAGTGGATTTACCTATTCCAGGCAATCTGTACACGTGGAATCACACAGTATATGATTTTGTGTCTGACTTCTTTCAGTTAGCATAACATGTTCAAGGTTTACCCAAGCTGCAGCATGTGTCAGTACGTTTCCATGACTGACTAATACTCCATTTTATGGATCTACCATATTTTTTTTTCTCTCTCTCTTTTTTTTTTTTTTTTGGTCTTTTTGAGACAGGGTCTCCCTGTAGTCCCAGCTGACCTGAACTCATTATGTAGAGCAGGCTTGCCTTGAACTCACAGCAATCCACCTGCCTCTGCCTCCCAAGTGCTGGGACTAAAGGCGTGTACCACCACACCTGGCCAGATCTATCATATTTTCTTTATCCATTTATCAGTTAATGGGCACATGGGGTGTTACATTTACAGTTTTAGTTATTTTTTTAAATAAAAAATGAAACCATCTGTGCTGTACAATCTTGCAACAGCGCCTCTCAGCTTCCGAACCCATGCCTCTCCTTTAATGTTATTTGAGAATTCCAAGTCAGTTAGCTACACTGGCTAAGCCACATTGGGCAATTATAATTGCATATGGCTTTACAAAGGGCATAATCTCTCCACTTCAAAAGAAATTCTGGATTAAGGTTCAAACCAAAATGAATGTTAGTTAGGAAATTCCAAGGTAAGACAGGATAACAAGGGTTAAGTGAAGGACAGCAACAAAAACATGATCAGGATTGGAAGAGCCAGAGGCGGCGGACGACCGCAAGAAAACTGTCTTCCAGACAGCAGGGCTGTTGCACAAACTCACAGCTACTGTGATAGCATCACAGGACATGAAGTCAAGGGAGAGCAGAAAGAAGGGGGTGAAGATGTGGGGGGACTTGAATATGATCAAAATACATTGTAGGAAATTCTCAAAGAATCAATACATTTTTTAAATTAACAGGCAGTGTGACAGGGAGACACCCCTGCCTGTCAGCACAGGGTTGATTCATACTTTCCCTGGATTTAAAAGGTGGAATTTGTGTTTGAAATGAGGCCATCATGACTGTCTCGTCACACCTGGAAGGATGAGTTAGTACCTGCAACAGTAACCTTATTTTTTTTTCTTCCATCATGTGAGTCTCAGGGATCAAATTCAGGTCATCGGACTCAGTGGCAACTGTCTTTACCTGCAGTGCTATCTCGCTAACCTTTTTAAAAGTACACTTTGTTTGCTTCTCTCTTAAATGCTGCTTAATCATCATGGAATTATTTTTATTTCCTGAATGTAATTTTACAAATAACTCTGGGCATGGTGGCACATCCTTTAATCCCAGCACTTGGGAGGGAGAGGCAGGCTCCTCAGGATCTCTGAGGGTTCAAGTCCAGCTTGGTCTACATAGTGAGTTCTAGGCCAACTGGGGCTACAGGGAGACCCTGTCTAAAACTAAATAAAAACATAAATAAATACAAATAAAATATTAAGGCCACTTCCATTTAATATTACATCCCCCAAAATAAAACCAACCCAGCTCTTTCCTAGGCCACTTTCAGTAGGAGGACGAATAGGGGAGTGGGCATTCTCCCTTGGCTAGGAAGGAGGTTCCCAAAAGGCCACCTACCTCTGCTGGCTTCCAGGAGACATCGGATTGCTTCTTCTGCCTCCTGTGCATTGGTGGTTTTGATCTGCTTGACGTTGTAAGGTTTACTTATTCCGGTTCTAGCTTTTGGCTTAACAACACAATCAGGGAGAAATGGATTAGCACAGGTAGGAAATCAGCCTCTACAGTGCATGGTGTGTCCACCACCTGCTGGTCTGCATAGGAGGTAGTGTTCTGCATGTGAATGTGAGCCACGCAGAGCCATGGATGCACCCACTAAATCTAAACTACATCCCTCAGTGTCTTTCCCAACCCCTGAAGAAAAGGAACGCAATAATGGTCAGTGCTGAAGACCTTTGACCCCCAGACGGGGTGGTGACAGGTTTTCACAATGCGGGCAACCATCTTCTGTCTTTATTTCAATGGCCAGGTAATAAGAGCTGGAGAGCACAACCAGGGGCATGCCTTCCGTGGTCTGCCTGAGCATGAAAATACCTTTCATATACATGTTTCCCAGCTGCATTTTCTACCTCTTCACCCACAGCTCCTGGGCTGTCTGAAACCCCACCCTTGTTACTGTACATTCTGGGATCCAGTCAACTCCTAAGCCTGCCTTGACTGCACATGACAACCTGTAGCTTTCTGAGCTCATCACACTGCCTTCATCTCCTTCTCCTCCCCACTGGCCTTCACTGGCATCTCCATAATCAGCTCAGGAGCCCTCTGGAAGAACACCTACACTACCACAAGTCTGTAGTCCTGTGTTGGCCTTAGCCATATGCCTCTACCACCATGGTTATTTAGGTCCAGTGGGTCTCTCTGTAGCTTTGTCTCTCAATTAACCTTCTGTGCTGGATGGCTTTAGTGTCAACTTGACATACCTGGGTTGAGGGAGCCTCAATTGGGGAATTGCCTCTATTGGACTGGCCTGTGGCCATGTCTGAGGGGCATCTTCTTGATGAGTGATGTGGGAGGGCCCAGCCCACTGTGGGTGGTGCCACCCCTGGGCAGGTGGGCCTGTGTTGCACAAGAAAGCAGGCTGAGCAGGGGCCAAGGGAGCAAGCCAGTAAGCAGCGTTCCTCCATGGCCTGTGCTCCAGCTCCTGCTTCCAGGTTCCTGCCCCGAGTTCCTACCTTGGGCTCCCTAATGAACTGTGACCTGGGAGATGTAAGCTGAATAAACCCTTTCCTCCCCAAGTTGGTAGTGGTCAGAGTGTTTTGTCACAGCAATGAAGAAACAAACCAGGACACCTTCCATCAGAATGACCAAGCTAATATGAATTACTCCTTTCCTTTGCATGCCACTCAATGCTCTACAGATCCAGGCAAAGGCAAGACTCGTAAGGAGTGAAAGATGACTCTGGAAGGTGCAGTCCTCCTTGCAGGGGCACCATGGGCTCTTCATCCCAAGTGCTTTTTCTGAAAATGCTCTGCAAACCACTTACAGTCCTGCAAAGAAGCTTCCACTAGATGTTGGGGCCCTAAGGGCGAGGTAGTAGGCAGGGAGAGACTAAGGTGGGACATATTTCCTGAAAACAAGCAATCCCAAGCGATGGGGGGGGGCCTCAAGTTTGAAATGCTGACTACTTCCTGGGAGCCGAACAGAGGGACTCACTGGTTGCTGAGGTGCTCCTGGTAGAAGTTTTGCTGTCTGCAAGATTGAATACTGCCCATGAGTGCCAGAGGAGATGGATACATCTGAGACTGACTTCTTCACCATTAAACCAGCTGTGAACATGAACAAGGGCAGAGTGTCAGCCTTAGAGATTGGGAACATGCCAGCTAGCTCCAAGATGCCGGGAGGAGGTGACGCGAGGCCGGACACAGCTGTGGTCAGGTGTGCAGACTCACAAGTCATACACAACACTCCCCGGCAGGCCCCACTGAAATCTCCAAAGTTTCTCTTTGGGGCTATGGCTGTGGCTTAGCAGTAGAGTGCTTGTGTAACATACATGAGGCCCTGGGTCCCATCCCCAAACTACAAGAAAACCAAAATGGTTTCCTTTTGATTCTCTAACAGCTTAGCCCACTCACAGATTCTCTAGAGAAGCACAATTTGAATGCAAATTTAAATATAAAACCAATTGATTTATAAGTGGTTTAAAACACATGATCAACCCAAATTTTAAAATCTGTTTTAAAAAATGTGTGTGTGTATGTGTGAGATGTGTGCGTGATGTGTATGTACATGTTTGTGTGTGAGGACACGTGCATGCCACGGCGAGCATTTGCCGATAGGAGGACAACCTTTGGGTTTGGTCCTTGGCTTCCACCTTGCAGGGCCTCCCGTTGTGTGTGCTGCATATGCCAGGCTAGCTGGCTTTCCAGGTTCTAGGGGATTCTCCTGTCTCTGCCTCCATCTCACAGCAGAGTGCTGGGATTACAGACATGTACTATTTTGCATTTGGCTTGTACATGGGTTCCCAGGATCTAAACCCAGGTTGCCAGATTTACGTGGCAAATACTTTTACCCAGTGAGCCATCTCCTCAGCCCTAGGACGAATTAAAATATATTTTATTTATTATTTTTATTTTATGTGTATGAGTGTATATTGCCTACATGTGGTAAGTACACCTGTGTTGTGCAATGCACATGAAGGTCAGAAGAGGGTGTCAGAGGGTGTCAGAACCCCTGGAACTGGAGTTATGGATGGCTGTTACCACCATGTGGGTGCTGGGAAACAAACTCAGGTCTTTTGCAAGAGCAGTAAGCACTTTTAGCCAATGAGCCATCTCTTCAGCTCCATATTTTATTTTTAATTTTTAAAAAATTTACTTTTATTTTGTGTATGACTGTTTTGTCTGCATGTATATAAGTACACCCATGTATACATGGGTGCATATATGCATTGCCCACAGAAGTCAGAGGAGCATGTCAGATCCTTTGGCACTGGAGTTACAAACAGTTATTAACTGCCATGTGAGTACTGGGAATTGAAGGTGGATCTTGCTGAGCCATCTCTCCAGCCTCTATTTTAAATGTTGAAAATGTATTTTTTGAGATATGGTCTCACTATGTAGCCTAGGATAGCTCTAAACTCCATCCTCTTGTCTGTCTCCTACCATACCTTGCTTATAAATTTCATATTTTTAGTATATTTTTATTTTCAGAAAAGCAAAAGTAGATCTCGGAAGTTGTGCCCTTCTGGCTTTCCGCGGACTACTACAGTGATAGTAGCTGTGGGAAAACCCAATTTTGAAAAGAACAGCTTAGGAAAATCGGTGTTTGACTGTCATGGGGAGAACTATAACAGTATAAAACAGAAGCAGACCAAAAGCAAGTCACAAGTTCATTGTGGGATTAAGGCAAGTTTGACAGGAAAAGCATTATTGGAGAGCCTGGAAGAAAATCACCATCCTGAGGGGGCCTGGTTTCCAGGGAGAGCCTGGCTAAGGCAGAAGGTGAGGATGCTGGGAACTGGAGGTGGGGCATGGCCTGGACCACGGGCATGCATGCTAGAGTCTGGGTGGGCCAGACTCCCAAGAAGCAGAGAGGTTTGGGCATCTGTCAAGGAAACAAGAGCTTGACTACATTTCCTCTCAGGGCTATGGCTGTTTCCCACTCTAAAGGTTTCAAACTGAAGGCAGCTAGAAGCAAAAGCCGGGCCCCAGGATGACCAGCTTTTTTAAGGCTTACCTCATATGCCATGAGAAACCAATGACCTCTGGCATTGAACAAATACTGGATTTAAACAAAAAAGGAGCCCAAGGTAGGGAGAGCGCCAGGGGTGACTCAGCAGCAGCTTAGAGCCATGTTTTCAGTAGCAGAAGGTGTGCAGTTATTCTCGGCAGGCATTGTGGCAAGCTCAGAGCAAGCGAAGTCTTACTTGGAGGGGGGGGTCTCTGCGGTGGGTGAGGTGGCCGAGGCCTATTGGGGACCGACAGGGACCTGCTCGGAGAACGGTGGCGGAAATCTCCAATGACTTCCAGCTCCTGCTTTAACTCCACCAGGTCAGCATCATCTGGAGGACATGGTGGATGTGAGAAAGAAAGTCTCTTCCAAATGCACCTGATCAGAAATGGCTCTATGCATGGAGCATACCCCTGGGTAGGAGTGCTGAGGAACAGCCAGGGCTGTGTGTGTGTGTGTGTGTGTGCGTGTGTGTCTGATTCAGGATCAGCACCTCTCTGTGTCGGGGTGAGAGGATATTCAATGCCTGCTTAGAATACTCAGTGAACCTAGTTTGTTTGCCAGACTTGTGAGACCTTTACATTTTAACAAATAGGCAGGCCTGTTTCCTTTCAAAACAATCAGCCACACTTCCACACTGAGCAGAGAAGACAATGAAACCAGAGCCCCTAAAGATTCACCCCACCTCAGGGAAGAGAACAAAATTCCTCACTCAACAATGTGGGCTTCAGTTTTGGAAGCTCAGAATATTCTTCCTTCTCTGCCTGGCAGCCAATAGAAAGTTCCTAAATATAAGAAGCTTCTGCTAGCCACTTCCTGAGTGCTGCCACTGTGACTGGCCTGGCACGTCCCTCCTAAGAGATCAAGAGGGGCCTGAGGAGGTGACTGCTTCTGTGTTATGACATGCACAGCAAGGCCAGTCAGAGGTCTTCTCTCCTACAGCACAATGCGGTGTCTCACCTCCACTGGCTCAACCTCACGTCTCAGAATGAACAGGGTTCTGAGAAGTGCAGAGGAGACGGCCTCTCAGTGCCCACCAGGGACCATTGTTGGTAGTGTAATGCTCACTCTGCCCTGGCCCTTAGAGGCTTCCCCAAAGATGATCTCTTCCCCAAAGGGCTTATGCCATTTGTAATGCCCACAACATAGGGATAGCAAACAAAGCCCCTCAGTTTTCCAAGAAGGTCACTATTCCTGACCTGGGTGTGTGGCTTTCTCCTGGGTGGGTGTCATTCTCCAAACCTGGCTGTGTCCCCTCTTCCCCTACCAAATCCAAATCTCTATGGCAGACTCCAGTCCGGAAGGTTGAAAGCTCCCAGAAGTCCCAGGGAGGCAAGCTACTGATTAGTTTGCAGACCATTATCCAATCAAAGGAACATGTGAGGGGTTTTGTGTGTGTGTGTGTTTGTACCTCTCCTGGCAAGAGACCTTTTTCCCTAGGAAGCACCTTAATTTCCTGTCTGGCCATGCTCTGCATTTCCAGCCCCAGCTCTGGGTTAGTGCTGCCTTCCTTCTGACAGTAACTGACAGTGGAAGGCAATGTGGGCATTTTTGGATGGACCAGACTTGACTTAGTCTAATACTTTTACCATTTAATCCAGGATTTGCAGTTCAAGCCACACAACCTTTTAGCTCTCTTAATTCTTTTTTTTTTTTTTTGGTTTTTTTGATACAGGGTCTCCCTGTAGCCCCAGCTGACCTAGAACTCACTATGTAGACCAGGCTGGCCTTGAACTCACTGTCTCCCAGTGCTAGGATTAAAGGCCTGTGCCGCCACACCCAGCAACTCTCCTTAATTCTAAAATAATAATGCTACTGTACAATGTGACATTATGTGGATAAAACAATGCATCGGGACATAGAGACTGAATGTGTCTTTTTAGGGATTCAACCAGAAGAGTATTGGGGAACAATATCACAAATGTAAAAGCAGTTTCTACAGAACTGTGGTCTCTTGAATATGCAGAAGAAGCAGAATTCTTCTGTCGTCAGGAGTTAGAGGGACATAGGTTTAAATGAAAGACTGAGAGGATTTGGTATATGGTAGCTGGAGTTCTCCCCACGGCCCAGTTCTATCACTTTGTGCCTTCCTGCCACTCTTCTCCTGGGACCTGTGCACTTGACATCACACCTTCAAGAGAAAAAGACACTGTTCCAGCTCAGCTAGGAAAGGTGGTGGAGATACCTTTGTACGTTGGACGCTGCTGCTTTTTGGCTAGCGCAGGGGACTTGCTAGTTGGTGCTACTGCTGTAGAGCTCATGGCATCTAGAGGGTCATCTCCACCCAGCTCACTGTCTGACACCACAGGCTGTCCAAGCTCATCCACCAAATAGTCTTCGTCCTCTTCTAGAACATCCCCTTTGGAGGAAGAAAGAATCACACAAGAGTGAAAGCATTAATGTGCAACAGCCCAGCCTTCCATAGCAGGCCTGTCTTGCTAGTATCATAGTTGTAGTTAATCCTGTTAACTTGCTGGGCCTGAGGGAAACTTAGGAGATGGCGAGGCACACTCAGGGGTCTGTCTGTGAGGGCCTGTTCAGAGAGGATTAACTTGGGGAAGAAGGCCTGCCCTGAATGTGGGGCAGCATCCCATAGACCCCTGGAATAAAAGGAGAGAGTCTGGGGCACTGGCATTCTCCACTTCCTGTGCACAGGGAGGTGAGTAGACACTGTCACACATTCCCACACCACGAGGTTCCGCTTCACCAGAGACAACAGAGCCAAGGGCTATGGATAAAACCCTCTGAAACTGTGAACCAAAATGAAGAATGTCTCCCTTGTAAATTGTCCATGTCAGACATTTGGACACAGGGAAGCCAACATAATCTGCCAGCAGCCAGGTCCCCAGGCAGCTCTCCATCTCATACAGCCTTCAAGCCACTGTTACCATGAGTGAGGGAATCTCCTTGGCCCTTCGTTTCCTGCATCATCCCACATGCGATCACTGGACCACATGGATGTGATTCACAGCTGTCACATGGATGTGACTCGCACATGTCAACGTCCTCTATAACCCTTGCAAGGTGGGGTTTTTGAAAATGACTGTCAGCTTGTCACCAGGAGAACTGTCTGCCTGTCCCCTGGGCAGGGCCACACACCTTCTGACTCATAGTCTAAACTTGCGAAGTCGAAGTTTTCCTCCAGCAAACAGGAGTTGGCAGTGGGGGACATGGGGACCATACTGTCTCGTTTCCGAATGAGCTCCTCTCTCAGGCCTTTCAGCCAGTCTTTGGTCTTTGGTCGAATCTTCACGGCTCTGCCTTTCACCTGGGAGGACAGCGGGCCAGAGAAAACAAAGAAAAGTCATGATGGCTCCTTTCTGCCATAGTCTCTCTAACCTGTGCACCAGGCACAAAACCAATGTTTTTATTCTGCCGAGAAAAGCAGAAGTCCAGACCCCAGGCAGGCTTAGCCCAGTTCTCACACCTGGGTGGAATAAAGTTGAACTGTCATTGGCAGCTTTTCAGTCTATGAAAATTTAAAACAAGATCTCATTAAAATGGAACTAGCTGCATGTCTTAAGGTTGAATATTGAGAGAAAGATAGAAACTCTTCCCCATGGAGGTGGGAACAAAGAACTCTGTGGGAAGCACACTCCTGCAGGTGGAATGGGCTAGCTCTGAGACATGAGGCCCAGATGGAGACTCTCAGCTGCTCCCCACCATGGGTCTATACAGGTAGGGCACAGGCCAGGCCCAGAGGAAGGGAAAATGTAGCCACACAGACACGGCCACATAGACACGACGGCCACATAGACACAGCCACACAGACATAGCCACATAGACATGGCCACATAGACACATACACATAGACACAATGGCCACATAAACACGGCCACATAGACACAACAGCCACATAAACACGGCCACACAGACGTGGCCACATAGACATGGCCAAATAAGAGCCACTTTACCTTCATGCCATCCACATCTAGGACACTGAGAGCCGAGTGGCTGTCTGCAAAAGTCACCAACATCTGCCCCTGGTTGATACTGGGACATAGGAGATAAGCCAGTCAACACCAGGAACTTTCTGCCACTCTCCTGAATCCCGCTGACACCCTAGAACCCACACCTGAGGGGTTGTGGTTACCGGACAAGAATGATCGTCCCATAATTCCCCAAGGTCTGCATAAGTTCTGTGCGCAGGTCCTCAGGAAACTCATTTTTCTCCTCTAGGGTTGGTGACTGAAGGTTTACCACAACAGTGGCATCCAGGGGACCCTGGATAGAGGACACTTCCTGGAAAACCCTCTCCCGGGCACCCACATCAACTTCTTGCACTTCTACCTCTACGACAGCAAGCACAGGTCTGCATCCAACATAGAAGAGAAGACAGTGCACAACAGTTATCCTGGACAGGTCATACCCAGCTCCCAACCTCCCTCTGTCTGCCTGAGCTCTGCTGTAAGAATAATGTCAGCCCATGAACCCCACAGGCCAATGTCTATGCTGGCAATGTAGCCCTTCGCTTTGCCCACTCTTAGTGATATCTTGGCATTTTTGCCTACAGCTGATTTGAGAGGGAGAACATCCACTACAGGAGTCTGTGCACACCAGCAGCCATCAGCAAAGGCTTCCAAGGATGTGGAGAAGCAGCCCTTGGCCCCTGCTGGAGTTCAAGCTCCTCACATGGCCACATGGCAATCTAAGACACTCACAACTTTATCTCTTGGTTTACAAAGCTCATTTCTAGGACTTTATTCTAGGGAAACAACCAGAGATTGGGACAGAGATTTCCATAGGAGGCTGACAGTTTATACTACAGCACGGTTAAGGGAAGGGGAGAAAGGCAGACAGGATGTAAAGATTCTGGCCCACATTTACCACTCTTTTTTAAAATTTTTTTTTAAATTTTATTTTATGTGTATGCATGTATTGCCTGCATGTAGGTAAGTGCACCCGTGTCGTACACTGCCCACGGAGGTCAGAAGAGGCTGTTGGATCCCCTGGAACTGGAGTTACGGACTGTTAGCTGCCATGTGGGTACTGGGATGTGAACCCGGGTCTTCTGCAAGAACAACCAGTGTTCTTAACTGCTGAGCCATATCTCCAGCCCTCTCTTTTTTATTTATTTCTAGACCTTGCAATTTTGGTAGTAACTGTAGGAGAATTAAATTTTCCTCACTTTCCCTCCAATGTTACCCTCTTCTGTCTTGCAATATGTTGACTAATGAGTCCCCTCACCCACCAGACCGCCCTTTCTGCCATCCGCTGTCTCCTTCCATTCTCAATGCACAATGCCCATGGCTCAGGGTCTGTCTTCACTGACACCAAGGCTTAAAAACTATATGGTGTTTGTCCTAACAAAAATACTAGGAAAAAAAAAAATCATCTTCACTGGTAGGTGCATGCGTCAGTCCCATGGCCCTGTTTGGTGCTGGACATCAGCTGCAAATGAGTGAGACAGGTCTGTAACCTGCATGATTGCAGCTTGAAAACATTACCGAGAAAAATCTGGGTGGCAGTGAATCCAGGAATGTTTAAAAGACAAAACTGTACAGGCTGTACCTTTGAAATCTTCATAAATGATGTCATTTATGATATAGAACAGTGACAACATGCTAACAATGATTACTTCTCAATACACAAATATTTGTTCTTCCTCTCGCCCCCCCCCCACAGTCATACACTCACTCACATACTAATCCTGTATAGAGACGGCATGTTGGTGCCCTGTGGGGAAGAGGAGACACTGCCTTCCCCAGAGAGGACCATACCTGTGATCAGATGCCTGTAGCTCTGCGCGGCCGTAGTATCTGAGGGTCCCAGGAGACCAGGTATGTCTGACTTTGGTGTCACTATCTAGATCATTGTCTAGAAGGTTGAGTTCTCCAGCTGCTCGAGATTCCATTCAGGAAGCCAATAAGTGACATAAAATCATATCAATATCAATCTCTCTCTCTCTCTCATCTATCTATCTATCTATCTATCTATCTATCTATCTATCTATCTATCTATCATCTATCTATCTATCTATCTGAATGTAGCAAAGATCTCTCTGCCTGGGGCTCAGGCTCCTTTGCTTACCCCCTTGAGCTTGAGCTGTGCAGGGGCTACTCTGGGGTCTGGGGCAAAGTCTTCACATGTAGACTACCCAGAGCAGTCATGGTCATGACCACCTCCCTTCCTCTCAGGTCTCCTAGCTGTGGGTCTGGGGTACATGGGTCTGCCCATGACCTGCAGCCTTTGAACAGTGGAGGAGGACTTTTCTGCCCCACCTTCTAGCCCTGGAGTTATGAAGATGCTCTCTGACTTATCGGAAAGAAAAGCTCTACCTGCAGCTGTAGTTTCCTTGCTTTGAAATCTTGGCGGACATCTCTCTTGAAAATGGCTGTTTATGCACTAGATTACAGGTGTTGCAACTTTAATAAGCTTTACTTCCTTACTGTATGGATGTCAATGGCACTTTATTAAAATATACTTCACAACTCACCGATTTAAAAAAAGATCTGTCTGGTTCCTGCTCCATTTGGAATTGGGACTTTAAGTAGATAAGTTTGGCTGAACAAAACAGGCTAGTAAAATACCTGAGTAGTGTGAGGGGAGAGGAAAGGCACCCCAAGACTTAACTCCTCTTTCCTCCTAGGACAAAGGGCAGAACAGAGGCATCCATGATGCAGCAAGGGGGAGAAGCAGGACAGATGAAGGTGCCTCCAAACACAACTTGCAAAGAGGGTTATCATTTGGATGGTTAATTGAAAAAAATTGTGATTCACATAGCCAGAGCACTGGGCTGAGTGTTGTTCTTTCCCTCTGTGATGCTCACTTACCCCCCTCCCTGTCCTGGACACACCTACGGCATTCACCTGTCTTATCAAAGGGATGCTTCTTCCTCCACCACAGCACCCTGTCTGTCCAGGCTGGGGTACGGCACTTGTCACTTGTATCATAGGCGGCTGAGCCAACATCATACTTGTAGGTGGGTCCAAAATTAATGGCTCCTTCATGAAAATCTTTAAAAATCTATTGGGAGAAAGAAATCGCAAGGCCACCTTCAGAAAAGAAGAAGATATGTTCCAAAGCGTTCTAAGAGGTAGGAGAATCTATATGTGCAAATGTCTGAAATTACACATGCACGCCTTTTAATAGGCTAACCAGTGGTAAGCCTCTACTCACTGCTGACAGACACCATCACAATACCTTCCCCTCCCTCCTGCATCCCTGCCAGCTATCTGCTGTCACCCCCAGGAGACAGAAGTCGAGCACAGGGCAGGAACCACTGTGTGCTCATCCGGGCACTCCCACGATACAGCAAATGCCTTTTCACTTGATGCAGCAGGGAAGGCAGTGGGAACAGTGGTCAGGGAAGGAGAGGGATTTGTTGGGTAGCATGTGTGAGCTCTGAGATGGACAGCGGGTCATGCTGTAGCATGTGTGAGCTCTGTGGTGGACAATGGGCCATGCTTAAGGGGTGTGAACTCTGTGAGGGCCAATCTTGAACCAAATTGTGGCCAGCTGCGCCAGGCTTGTGTAACGTTGGGTAAATAATTTGACTTTGTCCTCAGTTTTCTTTTTCAATAAAATGAGTATAATAGCCAATTTGTAGGGCACTTTGGAGGACGCTAGGTACAATTTGGTTGTGGAAATGATGCTGTTTGTTATTGTATTCACAAACAAGAAAGATATATCACCAAAATATTTTGAGTGGAGTCTAGAGTGTCACTCAGCAGTAGTTTTTTATGCCAGAGGCAAAGCAGTCTGGAAAAATACTGCATATGCATAGAAGATTGGTAGACCTAGTAGAGGAGGACTGTGCATAACAATATTCAACACCTTCACTAGGTAGCCAGCTCAGACACCGACAGGGTGGTCCACCAGAAGGCAGCCATGACTCAGACTGAGCAGAGCCCCTCACTGAGGAGACCTAGGGGAGCCAATTCTTCCTGTGTATGGAACACAGGGAAGTGCGCTAGAGGTGGTGGGGCACGTGTACTGTCAGCTTCTCCCACTGTGTTCAATGCTGTGGATGGCTTTCCTTCAGAGATGACCTCTCAGCCTTAGGAAGGCAAGGACCCCGTGCGTGGCCAGACAGAGCCCCATTAGGACAGCGGTGTGTGTGACTGCATGCTGCCATTCCCCTCGCTTCAGAAAGTCCTCCATGTTTTCCACAGTATCAAAAGCAGCATTAAATCCACTCTCTTAGAGCATATGTCTGGCAGACTCACTCCATGTTGGAGTGGAGATGGTGGAAGCAGCCACAAACCCTAAAGGCACACTTCACTTACTTTTCCACTTGACTTCTGTAGCTGCAGCTGGTCAAATTCCATAAGTTTCTTCCAATCTTGGCGTTTAACAAAATAAAAGACTTCTTCATAAGTAAGATCTATTCGGTAGTTGAAGTCACCACACCAAAACACATAATCGTGAGAAAAAACGTTTCTCCCCTAAGTTGTAAAGAAAATTATAGTCATTCTGTCCACTGTATAGTATGTTGGGATGCATTCTAGATAATTGAAACATACATTTATTTATTTATTTATTCATTCATTCATTTATTTTGGTCTTTTTGAGATAGGGCCTCCCTGTAGCCCCAGCTGGCCTGGAACTTGCTATGCAGGCCTTCAACTCACAGCCATTGCCTGCCTCTGCCTCACACTAGGATTAAAGGCATGTGCCACCATGCCCAGCCCAATAATTGAAACATATTATGTGGTCTTTTTTTTCTTTTATTGACAGAAAAATTGAGTGTAAGTTAATTCTTAATGCAGGTACAATAGCCACTGCCACAGGTAGCTGTCTAAATTTAAATTATTAAAAATTACTTGCATTGGACACTTCAAAGGAGGGCAGAGAGGGAGGGAGACAGGCTCCTGAGACACAGGACAAGCAGAAGCATTTAAAAAAAATTTTAAAGTTTGGGACTGGAGGGATGGCTCAGTGGTTAAGAGCACTATCTGCTCTCTTAGAGGACCCAGGTTTGATTCCCAGCACCCCCATGGCAACTAAGAACCGTCCGTAACTCCAGTTCCAGGGGATCGGATGCCCTCTTCTGACCTCTGTGGGCTATGCACAGCATGGCTGTACTTATATACATTCAGGTGATATACTCATACACATAAAATAAAAATAATGAAATATTTTCTAAGTGTTTTAAAGTTTTCTACCAAAGTGTCTTGTTTTTACCTAATCCCATAAACCCGAGAAATCGTTACATAATATCCTTTTCTATTTTATTATTTTTTATTTTTTGAGATAGGGTCTCCTATAGCCCAGGATGTTCTCAAACCCTTTACGTAGCTGAGGATTATGGGAGTGCACCACCATACCCAGTCGTATCTAGTGCTGGGGACTGAACCCGGAACTTCATGCCTAGTGGACAAGTACTCTACCTCCTCAGCTACATCCCAAGCCCTGCCTGCTTTTCTTTTTCCTTTTTCTTTTTTTGGTCTTTTTGAGACAGGGTCTCCTTGTAGCTCCAGCTGGCCTGGAACTCACATGTAGACCAGGCTGGCCTTTAACTCATGGGGATCCACCTGCCTCTGCCTCCCAAGTACTGGGACTACAGGCGTGCACCACGCCCAGCTCCTGCTTTTCTATTTTAAATAACGGTGTTCCAGAGTGGTCCTGACAAAGTTCCAACTCCACCTGGGAAGCACAACTACCAATATCTCTTTTACCAATTCCACCCCAGGGTGACTGTACTCTCGCTGGTTGCAACCACATCTTGAGAGGTGTGCCCCACACTCGGCATTAGGAACACAAGGTTTAAGGAAATGATCACCGATGCTAATACTATGCAGTTCTGTAAACCTCAGGGCTTGGACTCTTCGACTCTCTTACCACTGTTCTCCCTCCTCCATCCTGCCCATAGCAGGAGCCCTGTGTCCCCAGCCCAGCCCTGGAGAGCTCTTCCCCAACTGTGACACATGAACTGTCCACAAGGGCAGGTCACTGCTCCAGGTGCACCTTGTCCTCACAGCAGCCTGTGCAGCAGAGGCTAAGGTTCTATTTTACATTAAAAAAATCAGAAACAAAGTACTTTACTGAAGGTTGCAATGCTAGTGTATGACAGATCTGAACCCATATCTGCCTAGTCTAAACCACTCTCTTCTCCTACTATGTAGTGTCCCCATTTGTGGTATCCCTACTATGTGGTGTCCTCACTTGTGATATCCCTACTATGTGGTATCCCCACTTGTGGTATTCCTACTATGTGGTATCACTACTTGTGTTATCCCTACTATGTGGTATCCCCACTTGTGGTATTCCTCTTGTGGTATCCCCACTGCCCCACCCCACACTGACCATGAAGACAGATTAAGAGGATCCTAAACCAGCACTGTCCATGCAGCTTCTGTAGCACTGGAATGCTTCCCACATGGCCCAGCGAGGAAGCCGCTGACCACATGTCAGTGCATGCTGGGCACTTGAAATGCCCAATTCAAGTAGTTTCTAATTCATTTAAATTTAGATTGCTACCTGTGGTCCGTGGCTACGGTAATCTACCCAACTAGCATGGAGAATTAACTTACAGGTACAGTCAATTTTTTGGTCAATAGAAGAAAGTGATATAATTTTCAATTACTTGGAATGTATCAAAGTATACTATTTCAAATTTACTTTTCTAGTAAAAAAGATCAGATCACATACAAGTTGAAATTTTCCCAACTCAATAATGTGTTCCTTAACATGAGAAATAAAACCAGCAGGAATTAGGATACTTATAATTGAAAATTCATGAATTTTTGCCTTGCAGTCTGTGCTGCTGAATTGTTAGAACAGCAGTTTTAAAGGCTCTCTTTCTCACAAGGAACTGATCTGTTCTGCAGGAGAGCCCCGGGATCCAGTCAGCCTTCATCACAAGTTGGAGGACTCTGTGAGGACAGCTGGACCACCTCTGGGCCACCACTAGAGGGCAGTCTGACGTGTGCTATTGGAGACCTCAGGGCAGATGGAGGGCCCTGCTTCCTCAGTCCTGATTTGCTAGTTTGGAAAAAGGAGCTTTTAGCTGAGCAGCAACAGAAGGTACGGTACGTGTGAAGATGGTTCGTCAGGAGAAAACGGAATCTGCACCCCCAGGAAAGTGGAGATTTTATACTGCTTGAATTCAGATGTTCTTCACAAATGTAACAGCACCGCCAACCTGGTTTTCTCCCCATTCTATCACCTGACTTAGAAACACCCCGAAGCGCACTTAAGAAGAGCTGGAGCGCCTAAGCACTTCCAGGAAGTTGAGGTAGGAAGGCCAACCTGGTTTTCTCCCCATTCTATCACCTGACTTAGAAACACCCCGAAGCACACTTAAGAGCTGGAGCGCCTAAGCACTTCCAGGAAGTTGAGGTAGGAAGAGACACAACACTGCAAGGCTGCCTTCTCCTCCCAGAATGACAGCACATCTCTCTGGGGAGACCCCCCCCCCTTAGTGTTCCATCCCCAGGCCTGGCTCTGGTTAGCAGCTCAGAAAACCATGTGGGTCAGGCACACAACCTGCAGGCCACTCACCGCAGGGAAAGAGAGCTTGTGGGTGATCTCCCTGTAGTCTTCGTTCCTCTCCTTCACCTGAGACTGCCCAGCAGTCAGGTGGCTACAGATGAAGCAGAAGCTGGTACTGTGGAACTGAAAGCGGATGCCCACAGCGCCCTTATTCCCTGCCTTTCCCCCCATGCCAGTCTTCACTGTGTCGATGGCCACATCCCTGCAACAGAAAGATGGGCACACTCCGTTGGTTGTGAGAAAGTATGAACCTGTTCTACCACAGAGAAGAGCCTGGCAGCACAGCAACTCCAGCAGAGGCCCTGCTCAGAGATCAGAGCCCAATGTGACAGTGGTTCAGGCCATGGTCCCTGTCATTGCTGAGCACTGCCTGGGGTCGGGGCATCTTTGTCAGGCCTGCTCAAAAGGGCTTTGTCCTCCACCAGCATCCCATGAAGCTACAGACACATCACTCCTATGTCAGCCCAGCCTTCCCACCAGCAGGAGCAGCACTCCTGCTTCATTGTTATGTGTCTGTCTGTGTCCCTCCCCCTCTCATCCCCCCCCACCCCCCTGTCATGCCCGAGCTTCGATCCGCGAAGCAGGAGGCATCGTGCCCGAGCTTCCATCCGTGAAGCAGGAGGCATCGTCATCTAACAATTGACACACTTTGAGAACAAGTTGGCCTGGGGAGGTGTTCTCAAACGGTCTTTCTCACAATGCAGGTTCTGGTTCATATTAAATGCCAACTGGGAATGCAGACTGTAAGATATCAGGATGGAAGGCTGTAAGACAGCTAATGTTCCCAGGCTACAGAGGCTGCTGGTTACACCTGCTACTTGGGAGACAAGGTGAGGTGACAACTGCCTAAGGAGTGTATCAAACAAGCTTGAAGCCAAAGGGCAGGAAGCTGAGGAGCAGGTGAAGAGCCCTCAGGCCAGGTTAAGGGAACCTGCAGGACTTCTACCTCACCTCACCCATGACTTACCACAACCTTTACCTTGACTCCTCTTTTTTTTGGTCTTTTTGACACAGGGTCTCCCTGAAGCCCCAGCTGGCCTGGAACTCACTATATAGACCAGGCTGGCCTCCACCTCACAGAGATCCACCTGCCTCTGCCTCCCAAGTACTCGGATTAAAGGCGTGCCCCACCACGCCCGGCCATACCTTGACTTCTCTTTACTAACTCAGCCAAGCTGTCCTAGTAACACAATCACAGGGTCAGGGTCTTAAACATGTTTTGAAAGTAACAGAAGATTATGAATGCAGGATCTAAGGGCCAGCATAAGGCATTCCAGGGGCCTTCTGACGATATGGAGCTGCTAAGCCAGGTCCCACTTGACTTCCTCAGAAGGTCTGTTCAATGCCTTGCATTAGCAATTAGTAATCCAAATGCCACCAATAAGACTGGGTAGCATAGACTTTGAGAAAGCCCAGGGAGAAAACGACTCCCTGTAGTGTCTTACATACTCATCCACACTCACCCTCTCCTAAAAGATACCTATTTCCTAAGGTTTCCTGTTTTTTACACTCACAAGGCTGTCTCCTTGGAGAAGTAACAATGAGGTGAAATAAATTCTACCTAGAATTCTTTCTAGAAGAGGCAGAATTGGCATTGCTGAGGAGTTACGCAGCTCTTGCCCAGGGGTTTCCTGTCTGTAAACTGTGAATGAGATTATCCCCTCCTTGCTCACACTGAGATTGGGTGATATCAGTCCTGGAGCACTCCTCCTAAGAGCCCAGTTTCCTGAATTAGGAGTTTCCCATGGTGGCTTTTTAACTGTCACACAATATTCTATTCAGCCCCATTTTTCCTCAGGAGTTTGCTCCATTTATTGAGAATAATGGCAGGTCCTGTTTCCTGCTGCAGGAGTTTGGGGTGGGGGGCAGGTCAGAAGGAAGTCACAGAACAAAACACAGACTTACAACCCCTCGTTCCCCAGATGTTCATAAACTAAGTGTTCTTACCTGATGAATGGAACATGGTACGGACGCACAAAGATATAAAGACAGACGCCCACCAGCTGTGCCGAAGTCAAGAGAATGTACCTATGCGAGCGTGAGATGGCTTTCTGAAGTTGCTCGCCCCACATCTTCCTGTTGGTGGTGCTGGAAAAGCAGAGGAATGCTGTGTAGAGCTGGCAGGGAACGCCTCCTCCCACCTGCTGCCCTCCAGCCCTCAGTCTACCCTTTTCACAGATTTGATTTCCTGTTGTCATATGAGTGACCTGCTTCAACTCCTCCCATGGGTTATTATTTTTTTTTTGTTTTTTGGGGGGTTCGTGGTATTAGAGATTGAACCCAGGGTGTGGTGCATGTTAGACAAGTGTGTGATCACTGAACATACATCCCCAGTTCTCTTTTCACTTTTTATTTTAAGACAGAATCTCCTTAAGTTGCCCAGACTGGCCTTGAACTCACTGTGTAACCCAAGAAGACCTTGAACTTGCAATCCTCCTACCTCTGCCTCCCAAATAGTTGGCATTACAGGCCTTACCAACCAGCCCTAGCTCTTACTGCATTTTGGGGGGGGGGGCAGGGTCTCCCTGTAGCCCCAGCTGGCCTGGAACTTGCTATGTAGACCAGGTTGGACTCGATCTCACAGAGATCCATCTGCCTCTGCCTCTGGAGTCCTAGGATTAAAGGCTGTGCACCACCACACTCAGTCCTCCGACTGTATCTTATATATCACAGTAGCTCCTCCCTACCCTGCCCCCAGGACAGGAAGGACCTGCTAAAAGCCCTGGAGAATTCTTTTTATTTTTTAAAACATTCCTTGAGAGCTGGCAAGATGGCCCAGGGATAAAGGTGCTTGCCACCAAGCCTGACAATCTGAGTTCAAGCTGTGGGACCCACATGACAGAGACAACATAAGTTGTTCTCTGACCTCCACACATGTGCTTCAGACACGCACTACCACTACTACCACTACTACTACTACTACTACTACTACCACTACTACTACTACTACTGCTACTACTACTGAATACAATTTTAAAAAGTTCCCTGAAATAAACCTGGGTCAGCTTATGGGGATGAAAGTCTGGCTGACTTTCTACTGACTGTTGATCTGGTGGTTTGGGGTCTCCCCTTCCTGCCTGGCATGTGAAGAGGAGCACTTCCTGCCAGCACCCATTTCTTCTCACTTCTCCCCAGAACACATGAGTCAGCCACTCTCCCAGCCCTGCCCGCCCTACACTCCAGGTTCACACTGACACTCCCGGGACAGCATGACTCAGCTGCAGCTCAGGCCGGAGCACCGCACAGAAGTCTCAGGGATACTAGCTCTTCCTTCTGTTTCCGTATCAGCAGGGAAAGAGGACCACACCATTGGCCAGTATGTGCAGACAGTGTTGCTAGAAGGACCCAGACAGTCAGGGCAGGGCTGCCAACCCAGGAGCAGGCTCCTGGCCAGGGACTCTCTCAGGGATACCTTACCCTCTGTGCTTGACCCTTACCTGGCATTGACAATATTTCCCGCACTCAGTTCCACCATCTCTTCAAACCCCACAGCAAATATGTCAGCAGGGCTGCTGTCATCTGGGAACAGGGCAGGAAATGAAGGGAGTCAGAACTGCCAAGTTTTGTACTGCTGGTTCACAGGGTCCCCTTGCCCTACTACCACACTACTCACTGCTGGAATTCACTTATAGGGGACAAGCCACTGGAATCCTCTGTCCCTCCCCTCCCATGCTTACTGCACATATCACACCTCCCTGTATACATCTGGAGCGCCTTGAGAACCTCGCCCAACCTCTGACTCTTTCTCTGCACAAGGGACAGAAACTACCATCTCATAGGTAGTGTGGAGCTTAAATTGGATACCATGCATAAAACACCTGGTTCAGTCCAGTCCCTTGAAAGAGTACCCCCTCATCCCTTCTAATGCTGTCTTCCCAGACAGATCCTGAGTGACCTGGGACAGCACTGTCTCATGGTTTGTGCTTTCCAAATATTTTTCAGATTGATGTGCAGATGGCTATTTGTAGTCAGAGAAGAGACTACCCGGGAGCCGCTGATGGAATCTCTTGGCAGACACTGGGCCAACTTGGAGCGCAGTGAGCCTGGAGCTGCAGCTCTGGCGTTGCTCGCTTCTGAAAGGTGCTTCATAGGATCCCCGCAGCCATTTATTGAAGCTCCTTAGTCACTACATCTGACCTACAGACACCTGAGCCACTAAGGCCAGTCAGTGTTCCAATTGCAGGAAGTAACAAGGCTCCTGTTCAAGGCACCAATGGGAGGAAGTGACACTGTAACAAAAGTCCAGTCAGCTCTCCACTTCCTCCTCTGCTGGTCACATGGCACCTGGCACCTCTAGTTGAATGGGCTGAAATCATAAAGCAGTTTCGTTCTCTTTTTAAAGGGAACACCACCTTTCCTCTGTCTGCTCGTCAGTGACATTAAGTCCAATGCTTCCTTTTTTCTGAACCTGCTAAGTTTCCAGTAAGCCCAGCACCATCTCCGCAATAATGTTCCTGCCAGACAGTCATTAATGTGCCTTAACCAGCACCCTGTGATACAGGCAGAGGAAGAAGGTCATCATACAGTATGGAGGGTGCTCCCCTCAGTGAGGGGCACTGACTGGGCAACCTTGGCATTACTGGGTTGCCTCTGGTGGTGTCCAGATGGCTTCTGGATGCATCACCAATGGCAACACAAGCACCACCGATATGTGACTGGCAGTGACCCTGCATTGTAGACTCTGACACCTTCCTGGAGGTGAGGATCACATGTGTGTGTGGCAGAGGGGATGCACATAAGCACAGGCCACCACATGCATAGGACCGTGAGTCACTCAGCACCTAGGCATGAACCTTTCTTCTTGTGTTCCCCAATGCAGGAAAAAGCAAGGCCTTAGGGTGCTGCACACCCTGCCTCTCAGTAAGACCCCTCAATAAGATCTTGTATGACCGAAGATGGAGTGTGTGTCAAGTTTGGAACTTTTTTATCCTTATAAAGTATACACATTCTTTCACGACTGCTTAAAGGAGATGACTGTCACAGGTTGAGTAGCTTTTATCTGAAATGCTTGGGACAGATGAGTTTAGATGTTAGATTTTGGAATATTTGCATAAGGATAATGAAGTATCTTGGGGATGGGACCTAACATGGACTTCATATGTCATGTTCACTTTATATTTAGACTCTAAAAATAGTTTAATACATTTTTAGTGTGGCTGGGCTTGGACTGTGACCTGTGGCATGAGATCAAAAGTGGAACCTCCTTCCTTTGGCCTTCTGGGATGTCACAACAGAATTGAAGTTTCAGCTGCTAGAGCATACAGGAATCAGAGTTCCAGATCGGGGATGCCCACGTTGGATTAGGCTGGGAGAAAAGCAGGGATGAGATGGTGTTGGGCAGCAGCAATGCCCAACATTCATCAGAAGCCTGACTCCAGTCAGTTCCTGACAGCAGTGTGGCCTAGAGGCAATATCTCCTAATGACCACTAGGTTCTAATAACCTAGCCCTACGACTGCAACATCTCTGCATCTGAAGACAAAGGAGATCCTTTCCTTGATAACTCCCCCAAGCACTTGGAAAAGAAAAGGAGTCACATAATTAACTTGCTAGGCAGTATCCTTGAAGGTGAGACCATCGCGCTTCAAAGACTCTGACAAATGAAAATGCAAATATCAATACTAAATTCTACAAGGCAATGGCGCTCACAGTCAACTGTTTGGCAGGTCGCAGGGAACTGTGTTTTGCCTTTCCCCAAAGAGACCATCCTCACCCTGGGAATCCACTGCTTCTGAGAGCTGGGGGGCATCCAGGAGCCAGTCCGTCAGCTCAGCTGTCCCCAGGAGATTGCTCCGGAACTGCTTCCCCCCGTTCACATTCCAGGTCCCCATGGCGATCTGGATCCGCTTGAAATTTGTAAATTCTGATTGGCGTTCAGTCATGGCTCTCAGGATCCTGGGTGTCACTGTTAGGAGACATAAGGGGCACGTTTTTCTCCATTCTTGTCCTCTCTTGGACTATTATCATCCAAGCCAAGAAAGTAGAAAAGGTCAGAACGCACAGGCTCCTAGGAAATCCATGGATCACAAATACTTGAATAAAACTGCATCTATACTGCGCATGTACAGACATTAATCTTGTCGTTTCTCCTAAGCAATACAGTCGAACTGTTTACCTAGCATTTACATTGCACGAGGCATTATACATGATCTAGAGATGAGCTAAGGTATACAGGAAGATGTGCACAGGCTCTGTGCAAAGATTACATTTTATGCAGAGGACTTGAGCATCTGCAGAGTTTGATATCCATGGAGGTCCTGGCACCACTGTTTTCTGGATACTGAGGGACAATTTTACAGAGACAGCTTGTAAGCTGCTTAGATCAGACCAAGAGCTCATAGACCAGAGGCTCTGGACATGTCTTACAGCCATCTTGGATCACACGTTTGGGTGCAGTGGGGCTGTTAGCCCCATCCACTGTTACCCCCACCTCCTCACATCCTTAGGGCTGTGGATACCCCACACAAGGGCAGGCGCCTGTTACCCAGAAGGGCCGGGTTGTCCAGCAGCATTCTCCCTTTGTCTGTGGACTCCTCATTGTAGACGTCTCCAACCAGCAGCAGCTTGATAGCCTCCTGCTTCACCCCGTCAAAGAAGTTGGACTGGATGGTACGAGACATGGACCGGGCCCCATCCTTTAGCTTCCCTACCTGCATAAGCCCAAACACAGGGTAAGAGGGATTCATGTGGTTCCCTTCCCTGCTCCCTCAACCTGCTCCTATCTTGACCCTCTCTCCCTGGGCCTGCCTCTACCTTGGCCTTTCCTTCCAGGGCCCTGCTGCCCGTGAACACCTTGCTCAGGCTGTGCCCATTCAGAGACCACATGGCTTTGAAGGACTCCACAAAGCGGTCAACAATGGGCTTTGAATTCAGGCCCAGGCTCTCGAGCTGCAGATGAAGGACCTGGAGGAGAAACAAAGGACAGTCATCACTGGCTGCCTAGAACACCCCCAGGTGCCTGTAAGCGAGCCCCTCACTCATTAGACTGAGGATGAGAAGCACGGGCTCCCCCCAACTTTGCTCAGGCCATCCTTCCTGCCCCTCTCTGAATGCCTGATGCCAGATTAGCCACCAAAAGGCCGAACACCAATCAGTGGGGGACAGCAGGCTGCACAGATGGAGCTGCAAGGGGCCAACCAGGCAACCAGGGTCCTACTGGCACTCTCGGGTTTCAAGGCAAGCCATCATGGCCAGTCTCACACTACCCTGACCCTGGGGTATATTCATGGCTATCTCTACATAGAATAGATGCTTCTCAAAGACAACTGGAGCCTTTGGGCCAACCATGTCTGAGATGTATCCCAGAAGATATATAAATATGTAAGTCATGACAGGGAAAGGCATACAGTGGTAGAAGGAGGCAGCCACTAAAGGAGCCACTCTAAACAGCCCCCTCTGCATCCCGATCACCTGATCTGTCATTAGAAAGTGGAACTGTGAAGTTACCCCCATCTTGCTGCTGAAGGCCCAGCCTGCCTCACTGAATGCACATGACAAGGCACAGATACACAAGGAATTCACCTCAAGTGCGATGAAGCTCTGCACAGTGTTGGTTCGGTCCAGGCAGTCAAGACAGTTCATCCGTAAAGTACCTTTCTGAAAACTTAGGATCACAAGAAGAAATGGAACAATTATGAGGTATGTTTGAAAGACCACCAGCTGTAGCACAATGGCCAAAGTCTGTCTGCTTCCCCAGGAAACTTGTTCCAAGAGACCCCTTGCATCCTTCCTAGCAGCTCGCCAGCATTCCAGTACACACCAGGAGGAATCCCTGTACTGCAGGAAGAATAGGCAGACCCCAAGACACACCCCCAGCAGCCCACATCCCCAGGTTATCATAAGCACAGCCGGTTCCTGTTATTCACAACAATTACCTTCTACAAAAGTTCATGAATAGTGTATTAGCAAATACTGAGGCATCCTGGGAGAAGTGCCTGAGTATCTAACTGCATCAATTGGACAAAAATGACCTTGTTTGACATGTTTCTGTTTAAACACATATAGGTAAATCCCAGCAGCCCACATCCCCAGGTTATCATAAGCACAGCCGGTTCCTGTTATTCACAACAATTACCTTCTACAAAAGTTCATGAATAGTGTATTAGCAAATACTGAGGCATCCTGGGAGAAGTGCCTGAGTACCTAACTGCATCAATTGGACAAAAATGACCTTGTTTGACATGTTTCTGTTTAAACACATACAGGTAAATAGAGAGACAGCTCGACTGGGGATGGCACAACCAAAGGTTTTTAATTTAATGAGGGGTCAGTTGGAGGCTTAAGTACATTTTCCACTTAAGATATTTTCAATATAAAATGAGTTTACTGGAAGTAACCCCACAGCAAGTCAAACAGCACCCACACAGTGCTGCTTCATTAAGACTGAACTCCCCTCAGCAGCCCTGTAACTCCTGTCTGTAGGAAGCTTTTCTGACACGTAAGGCAAATCACTGCTTTCTTGCACTTGGAAAGCTAGGCAGCACCTTGGCCCTACAGTCAAACAGGGACATCACCAACAGAGGCACCGAAATGTGGAATTACGACAATGAACATTGAGAGAATCTGTTTATGGTAAGAGCTGAGACAAGGAGATTCAACTGCCTTCTTCAACCCATTGGGTGACCAATTTTTCACTGTTCTGAGTGTGTCTGTGAATGACTGTGAACATGGGGTTATGAGGGAGTTTTAGTGAGCAGCTGATTTCATAAATTTGGGATCTGCACATGATAAGGACTCATTGTGGTTTGAGGAAAGTGATCTCCTTCCACTCTGAATAGGGTAACTCACAGCCCAGTGTCTGCGGGCACTGGCTTCACATCAGCTCTCTCACCATGATTTGAGATAGCTCCCCTCAGGGCTTCTGTCCCGGTATGGATGAGCCATACCAGCCGAGCTCAATGGCTTTCTTCTTTGTTTATTTGAGACAAGGTCTCAAGTAGCCCAGGCTGGCCTAGAATTCACTATGTATGACCTTGAACTTCAGGTCCACCTGCCTCTGCCTTCCAAGTGCTGGAATTAGACATGTACCACCACACGGGGTTTTACTCAGTGCCAGGGACCAAACCCAGGGCTCTGTGCATGCTAGGCAAGTACTCTACCAACTGAACTCCATCCCCAGCCCTGAGCTCAGTGTTTTAATATAATCCTTTACGTTCAGAAATGTCTTTTTCCAGAAAATCAGGCTTTACTCTCTGCTTACAAAAGTCAAAAGCATGCCTCTGACTGCAGGAGGAAGGGGAGAAGGCCAGGACCCCAGAGCCCCAACATCATAGAGCTTATGATCCAGAAAACTACAGATGTTGACCAAGCAACCAGGAAAGGAAACGACTTCTGCTGAGGTGCCCAACCTAAGGAGCCGTCACACCCCTGGATTCCCCCTCCAGCAGTAGCGTGGAGCGCCAGCGAGACTCACCGTGGACTTACATTCTCGCCCTTTGCAAACACATCAAAGTCATCCCAGTGCAGCTTTAACTGAGGCCTCAACAGGTTCTCCAATTTCTCTAGCTTCCCACCTTTGGCAAACTGATGGAAGTCAAAATTTATCATAGGCGTGTCACCGGCATGGCAAGAAGCCCAGAGCAACTTCTGAAAAGGGAAGGGGAAGCTGTGAGCATGCTGGCATAAAGGAAGGCTAAGCCCTGCAGGCTGGTGACTGAGAGTGTCTTCTGGAGGCTTGAGCATTGCGGCCACCACAGTCACCCACCAGAGTACACATCAGCTGGAAAGCTCAGGAGGACTAGGCAGTGAACAACCCTGACCTCAAAAAGGAAGCATAGGACAAGGGCCCTGAGGGGGTACAGAAGCCACAAAGAGCATCTTGCCTGCATAAGGGCCGAAGGTCCCCCTTGGGCAATACCTCTCTGGGGGAGATCCCACTACTGTGGGGCTCGGGGACACAGGTAAGGGAAGGGTAGCTCTGGTCTTCAGGTGGTCCAAGTGCTCCAAGTCTCGGGAACAGCAGCATGTAGCAGGCTGTGCAGCTCATAATCCACCTGCTGTTGCCCTGGTAACCAGCCCCACCCTGACAGGCACTAGCCCTAGAAGGGTGGGCTCAGCAACAGTTGAGTCTCTAGACTGAGATGGTTAGCAGGATGTACAGAGTGGCAGAACCCAAGATGGGAGGAGGCACTGTCCCACTTGGTCCAGGCCCAGCCGAAGAGCCAGAGTACTGGTGAAGACAGAAGAATATAGTTCATGGCTGTGGATGGCTCAGAATGTGCCTCATAGAAGGAAGACCTCCCTTCCCCACACAGCTTCCCTGGCCAGGCAAACTTCTCAGTCTACTCGCCAAAGCACCTTGGAATTATGGACAGGCTGGCTGCCTTCCCAGGCCACTCAGCTCTGGGTCTCCCAGCATTAGCCAGAATCTGCCCAGTCAGTGGCTCCGAGGGCTTTGAAGAACTAGGAAGACTACCTAGAGCACCCTGGCCAGCCAGAATGTAAATTAACACATGCTGCCATCTTCAAGAATGTCTCTCTGGGGAAAAGAAGTCTGTGTAACTAAACAGTGAACTTAGTGGCTTAGAGTGTTCACCTCTGGGACCAGCACCTTGCCCAGCTGTGGCACGATGATAACCTCCGGGGCACAGGTTGGCTGCCAGCACCAGCCTCAATCTGGTGAGGTACTTCCTAGTCAGGACCATGTCTTAGGTCGCCAGGTGAAGCACTGCTTCTTCTACTGCTCAGGGACCATCCTTCCCTCCTAGGCTATCTCCTGTCCTCTGGGTATAAAAGAAGTCTTCACCTCAGTCCTGAGGGGCACTGTCACCCGCTGGGGGAAGGGATGAACACGTCCTATTCCATAACTCAAGACAAAAGGCAAGATTTGGGTTTTTTGTTGTCGAGGAGTCGTGTGTGTGTGTGTGTGTGTGTGTGTGTGTGTGTGTCTGTTTCGCCCTCTCTCTCCAAATATCCTATAAAAAGTACACTCACAATATCAGAGGGGATAGAGGGGCAAGACAAAAGGCAAGATTTGGGTTTTTTGTTGTCGAGGAGTCGTGTGTGTGTGTGTGTGTGTGTGTGTGTGTGTGTGTGTGTGTGTGTTGCCCTTTCTCCCAACCTTCCTTAAAATAAGTACTCAGCATCGCTGCCAAGATAGGTGGGAGAAGAGATATTTCTTGAGCTTGTTGCTCATAGCAACAAACCAAACAGGAAAAGCAGGTCTGGCCAAAGAAAACTGGCACCAGCAAGCTCCTGCTCCATACATGTGGCTTTCCTAAGTAGAGTGAAATGAGCACTTCAGCTGGGTTTGGCTGCCCCAACCAGGGGTCAAGGGTCAGAGGTCAAGGTGGCAGTGGAAACTGCACAGGTTGGTTCTCCTTCCTGCTGAGGTGACCTTAAGCTGTCCCCATAAGGGGCTTCCTTGAACTTCAAGCAACCAGAGGCCCTTTTCAAACTAAGCAGGGGCCATGAAATCCAGCAGGGTGAGGGGATCACTGCAGCTCATTCTGTGTCTTCTACAGTACAGTGCTCAAGGGGAGGCCAGGGCTCTGTGGCCAATGAGAGACCTGGGTAGTCACCACTCTGCCTGTTTGCAACCCTGTTGGGATCCACTCTGCTCTAAACTAGGTACCCAGTTATCAAGAGGAGCCTGCCGGGAGCTGGCATGCAGCCTCCACAGGCAGCCCAAACAAGACCCTGAGACTCGAAGGGTACCCCAAGCAAGAGGAAGCCACACATCGTTCTTGTATGAGCTGAGCCAATCCCTCAGCTTATAAAAAGTAAATGTAATGCATCAAGAATCCAAGTCACCTAGTGCTGGGCTCTGAAAACCTAAGCAGGGCCACCTGCTGTCCTCAGTGCTCACATGAACCAACTGCTCTTAGTCTCAAGGCCTGAGCAGGGCCCACCTTTGCACCCTTCCCATCTACACGCAACCATGGAGGACAGTAAGCATTACCTTGAAGGCCCTGTTGAGCACCTCTTCTCCGCCTCTGCTTCCCAGCAGGTTCACGACCACCTGCTTCCCGTACTGCTCCTTCAGAAGCACCATGTGCCTGCAACAACGGCAGGGCAGTGGTGACCCTATGGCATCTGTGCCAGGCAGCCTGCCTCCCATCCTGCCTCTTGGGGGAGAGGGTACAGGATGATGGCACTATCTCAGAATCAGAGGTCTAGCACCAGCCATGCCCCTGACCCAGAGTGTGTGGGAGGAAAAAGTCCCTTTCTCCTGGATACTACCATCACTGTTCACCAAGAACCCACTGGGAGGGCCAGACATGGTGGCACATGCCTTTAGTTCCAGCACTCTGGAGACAGAGGCAGGTGGATCTCTGTGAGTTCAAGGCCAGCCTGGTCTACACAGTGAGTTCCAGGACAGCTGGGGCTACAAGGAGACCCTATCTCAAATAAACAAACAAACGAACGAACAAACAAACAAACAACCCCCACCCCCCAAAAAATACTCCGCTGGGATTAAGTCTGACCAGGCTGTTCTCAGATGAAAGGTTTTCGGCAGGAACAACGTCCAACACGTCAGACCTTTAGATAAGGCTATGCTGGCCTTTCTATAAAGTCCATTTAGAACAATTCCTGACCTTTCATGAACAGTCTTGTAAGCAAGTACAACAAGCCCATCACTGAAATTAACATGTAAGTTCTTTCCCTTAGTGTTAGTGTTCCTGCTTTCCCAACTAGAAACACTGCGGCCTGAGCCTTGACCTCCACCTCAGGGTCCAACTGCCTTCCAAGCGCTGCATTTCATCTTTCATCGTGGAACCCAAATGAGATGGTACCACAAAGCCTGCAGCGCACATACACACACACACAGACACAGACACAGACACACACACACACACAGACACACACACAGACACACACACAGACACACACACAGACACAGACACACACACAGACACACACACAGACACAGACACACACACAGACACACACACAGACACAGACACACACACAGACACACACACAGACACAGACACACACACAGACACACACACAGACACAGACACACACACAGACACACACACAGACACAGACACACACACAGACACACACACAGACACAGACACACACACAGACACACACACAGACACAGACACACACACAGACACACACACAGACACAGACACACACACAGACACACACACAGACACAGACACACACACAGACACACACACAGACACAGACACACACACAGACACACACACAGACACAGACACACACACAGACACACACACAGACACAGACACACACACAGACACACACACAGACACAGACACACACACAGACACACACACAGACACAGACACACACACAGACACACACACAGACACAGACACACACACAGACACACACACAGACACAGACACACACACAGACACACACACAGACACAGACACACACACAGACACACACACAGACACAGACACACACACAGACACACACACAGACACACACACACACACGCATATCCAAATATTACAGAGATACCAGTACTTTTTTATCACCAGCTTGCCCAACCTCTCTCTCTCTCTCTGTGTCTCTCTCTCTCTGTCTCTCAGTCTCTGACAGGGTCTCATGTAGCCCAAGCTGGTCTCAAGTTCACTACCTTGCTAAGAATAACCTTGAACTCCTGATCCTTCTGCCTCTATTTCTCAAATGCTGGGATTATAAGCATGAGTCACCTTGACTGGCAAAAGTAACTTTTAATTTTATAAATGTTTGAAATGTAGTTCTTTGAAAAAAACTGGGAAAAATACAATGCACAAAGCAGACATAAAATTGGAATTTAATGATGAGATTCTTCTCCATTTATGTCTAAATATAGAAAAAAGACTAGAAGAAAATACACTGATGTTAAAAGTGGGTGGAATGTTAATATTTTTCTTCTTTCAACATTTTTCCACTTCCAAATTTCTACTATGACATAATCATTTTATAAATAGAATTAAAAAATAAAAAGATCACAAAGGAACCATCTTTAGGCCAATGAAGGAAAATATTCTCTTGCTTACTTTGAATGATATCATGGGAAACAGAAAGATCTTAAAGTGGTTTTGATTTAAATTCATCTGCTGACTAGCTGACCTCCGTGAAGGGTGAACCAAATCCTGAGCGCCTGCCCCTCCATGAAGTCTGTTAGTTCCTCTACGTGCAGGATTCTAGCAGCCCAGGGATGGGGCAGCAAGAGATGACTGACACATAAGGGCTTGTCCCCAGGAAGGAAAGCTGGGTTGCTTGCTCTGCCTGTCACTAGGTGACATGACACTGTGGCCACAAAGAGCAATGTAGCTTCTAAGAAAGGAAACCCATGGTTGGTCTCCCTGTCTGATCCCGGAATCCCTTCTCAACAGGGTCCAAATTCCAAGGGTGGAAAAGAAAGATTTCTACTCATGGGTGCTGTCCTCTCCGCCACCCATTCCCACCTCCAAGGCTGACTCTGGACCAGGCCCCGCACTCCTTTCATCCCCGCAATGTGACTCACCCTCCCTGAGCACATAAATTACAAGGATTAAAAAGATGAGCATGAAAATGACAGGCCAGTGCTTAGCACATGAGAAATGGGTCTTCTTCCTTCCTCTTTAATCTAAAAAATAAGATGATGCTCTCATGTGAAGACTCTGCATGAGGGAGGGGCTGCAGGAGACACGTTCAGCAGGACGCCCTTCCTCTTGTTTTCCCTCAGTGTCAGGTAGAATTTCATTTTCATTTATGCCTACTATGTCCTGGGAACACCTGGTATGGACCAAGGACAACCAAACTGACTCCACGTGTATCATGCTTAGACTCTAATCATGTTCTGGGAAAGGACAACACATCTTCATTAATACATTACACAAAAAGCCCATTATTCATAGCAACTAATCAGGGAGTCACAGCTGGGCTCATGTTACCAGTGTTGTTTTTACAACACTGGAGAGATGGCTCAGCGGCTAAGAACACTGACTCTTCTTGCAGAAGACCTGGGTTTGAATTCTAGTACCCACATGGCAGCTAACAACTGTCTATCCTACAGCCTCTTCTGTCCTCTGCGGGCATTGCACAACACAGGTGCACTTACCTACATGAAGGCATAACACTCATACACATAAAATAAAATATTTTTAAAAAAAGGAAAAAGAGCTGGGCATGGTGGCACACGCCTTTAGTCCCAGCACTCAGGAGGCAGAGGTAGGTGGATCTCTCTACATAATCCTAGGCCAGCTGGGGCTACAGGGAGACCCTATCTCAAAAAGACCAAAAAAAAAAAGGACTGGAGAGATGACTCAGTGGATAAGAGCATTGGCTGCTCTTGCAGAAGATCTGGGTTTGATTCCCAGAACCCACATGGCAGCTAACAACCATCTGTAACTCCAGTTCCAGGGGATCTGATACCCTCTTCTGAACTCCTTGGGCACTGAATGACATGGTGCACTTACACACATGAAGGCAATGCATTCATACACATAAAATAAATAAAAAAGGAAAGAAGTCTATATGCAAATACAAAGCCCAGTGAGACTTCAGGTGGAAGGAATAAGCACTGAAGAATTCTGAGAATTTCTGTGAAATTCACTAAGATTACAAAAATTAGTTGTTAGATTAAAAATAGTATCTTTAAAGAAATGATTAATTCAAGTACAGATTCTAAAAAGTTCAGCCTACAAAGGGCTTTTCCTAAGCAGGGTATAAAACAGTGTTACAATTCAACTGTCTTTAAAAAGCATGAAACATGCATGCCAAAGTTTTTATCTAGGGTACATAAATAATTGGCAATGGTAAAATCTCTAAGTGAGACTTGGGAATTTGAACATTCTTTGACTTTGCACCTTTCTATACTTTTAAAAAATATTTTTATTTATATGTGTGTATTGCGTGCATGATAGGTAAGTGTACCTGTGTCGTACAATGCCTGAGGAGAACAGAAGAGGCTTTCAGATCCCCTGGAACTGGAGTTACGGACAGTTGTTAGCTGCCATGTGGGTGCTGGGATTCAAACCTGGGTCTTCTGCAAGAACAGTCAGTGTTCTTAATCGCTGAGCCATCTCTCCAGCCCCACCTTCTTATACTTTTAAAACTTAGTACGTTACTTTTAACCTGAAACAGCTGCTGATATCCTGTCACTTAGATTATCCCTTATTAATCAGAAGAAACAGCTGAACATTCTAAGAAGGAACTGATAGGATAATTGGATAATTGAAATATTGACAGGATAACTGCAAAGCGTTACCTAAATATTGATGAATTAATTCTCAAGGAAACTTGAGAACAAGCAAAATCCCATTTTATGAACTCTGCTCCTACATAAAGGACCAAAGTAAGAGGCAGATGTGATTCAGGATTGGGGTTCCTTCTCCACTGCCTTGCCTCCTGCCCTGCCATCTGAATGAAAGATGAAAGGTCTCAGATAAGTCCGAAGATCCCTACCTGTCAAAAGCAGGGGCATTGGCCTCCAGGCCTCTGTGCAGTCTCAGATGATGGGAACCAACCTACAGCAAGGAGACAACAGGATGATGTTGCTGTGCAGTGAACCAACTCAGCTTTCTCGCTCTCTGACAGGCGGCATGTGGCAACTGCTCAGCCATCTCTGTGGCTCATTCCAAGTTGAGGCAGGTTAGGTAGGTGGACTCTGCTAAAAATGTTCCCAACCAAGATCTGGGTTCCTGGAGTTTGGCTCTGCAGCTGCAAGGTTCTAACTGCAGCATGAACGCACCAGTAAAATTCTGTAGAAATCCCGAAAGAAAAAAGAAAAGAAAAAAGAAAGCCCAAAGAAATCCTGATATGAAGACCAAATGCTCCAGTCCAGCCAACTAGGACAGAGAAACTGCTTTCCAGCCTCATTCTTCCGTGGATCCCAATAACCCCAAAGTCTGAGTTACTCTAATTATCTTATTTATATTAATACTTAGAAATACCTATTTAATATTCATCTTACTCTAAAATACCTATTGTTATCACAGCCAGCTGTAAGGCTCTCACCAGGAAAATCTACGGCAATTGGAGCACGGAATAATACAATGATGATATATTATACTTAATGAATAAAATAAGTATCTATGAATCTATGTGGATGATAGTATGGACTGATGATGGATGGATGGATGGATGGATGGATGGATGGATGGTAGATGGATGGATGGATGGATGGATGGTGGATGGGATGGTGGTTAGCTGCTGGCCGAGTAAGTGGGTGCTACCAATGGAGTTAAGTAGCTGACAATCTGATTATTGTGCCATTGTTAATCAGAAGAAATGGATGAACATTCTAAGAAGGATGTTCCTAAATATGTTCTTTTGCTGTGATAGAAGAGAGGAGAATTATTCTTGGGAAACATCCTGAAAGATTCATAGGCAAAGATACATGATATATACAACCCACCCAACCGGTTCTGAAGTAAATAATGCCTGTGTGACCAAAAGGACTGTGTGAAGGACACACAGTGCTTTCTGTTTGGCTCCTGCAACTTTTCTGTAGGTCTGAAATTAGAGTTTTGGAAAATGTCCTGTTGGGTTGTTTTTGAGTGTTGGAAGAGTGATGCCATTAGATTTGTTCACGTGATCAAGGTGCTCAATCCTGAGTGTTATACATTGTTAAGTAACACACAAAGCCTGCTGCATTCTTGACAAACATACATCTGGAAAACTGATCTTGAGACAGGTTCAGAAATCATGGGCAAAATTAGTTGTTCTATACAAATAATTCAACAAAGTCCAAATCTCTTTTGGTTCTACAAGACCTTGGTCACAAGGGGAGTGAATCTATAGAATGAGGCCCCAGCCAGTGGACCAACAGGAGTTCCTAAGAAAGATTTGGTCAAAGCAGCTTCTTTGCTACTTGTGTTTCTCATTCCGATAACCACGGATGGTCCGAGGACATGCCACAGCTTAATTTGAACCTGTCTTACTGTGAGCTCCTCCTCTCTTCTGGATCTACATAGAGGTGTGTGGTAGTCCAAGAGAGGGCATGCTTGCTCCAAGTTACCTGTCTGCGGAAGAAATCTCCCACGTTGGTCCTCACAGGAACAAAGAAAGGGAAGAACTGAAGTCCACAGGGTAGGTTTAGAAGCCTGGCTTCTGTTATGACAAGCTCTAGTCAGGCAAGTTGGTTTCCCTGAGTCACAGCCTAAAGACTTCCGTTAAACAAGTGGCGCCTGAGGGCCCAGCTGTCTGCACTACAGTGCCCAGGCCCAGGAGCTCCCCACTATGAAATTGACCCAGGTCATCCACTGCTAAGCTACTGAATGCTAAGCCATCATGGCACTGGATATTCAGGTAGTCAGGAACAAAGTAGAGAAACTGAGTCCCCTGACTTGGGTGATTCCTGCCTAGCTATGGTCGCCACAGGCAGACCTAGGTCCTAGCAAGTGTGCATTAACTTAGATTAACGGTGGAGACTGCCCTTTAGCACTGAGAGCAGCAGCATTGCAGAGGGGCATGAGGGTCTTCTCTATTTGTGTCCCCTCTACCGCTTAGGGAAGATGGGTCACAGCAGCAGCCAACAGCAGAAGGCCCAGCCCAAGGGTGGAGCACATATTCCCTGAGGCCTCGGCTTGCCTCTCACCCAGGACTCAGACGATCTTTCCATGGGGACAGGATGGGCACAACTGTCATTGGCTTGGTCACATCGCCATGGCTAATCTAGCATCAGCACTGTACTAGTTTATTTTCTAGTACAGTGTCAAAACAGTCTGACCAAAATCAACTTGGGGAGGAAATGGTTTATTTTATCTTACATCTCCCAGGTCACAGTTCATCACTGAGGGAACTCAGGGCAGGAACCTGGAGCACAGACCATGGAGGAATGCTGCTTACTGGCTTGTTTCCCTGACCTGTGCTCAGTCTGCTTTCTTATATACTATAGGACCACCTGCCCAGGGGTGGCACCACCTACAGTGGGTTGGGCCCTCCCACATCACTCAACAATCAAGAAATTGCCCCACGACATAGCCATAGGCCAATCCAAAGGAAACAATTCCTCAAACCAGGTATGTCAAGTTGAAAACTAAAGCTATCCAGCACAAGCACTAACAAACCCCCTGGGAACACAAAGAAATCAAGGGCATTACCCCCAGAGGAGCAACCAGGGCAGGAGATGGGTGGAAAGGATCTGTGAGAATCTAGGCCAATGGGTCTCAAAATGTGGTCCCTGGGTATCCCCTGGGTACTGGTTAAAAACATTAAGTTGCAAGCCCAGCTCAGATCTGCTGAGCTAAATTTCTGAGGATGGGATCAGGAATGTGTGTTTCACAAGCCCTCCAGCTGATTCCTATAAGCAAATCCACTGTGGTTTGGCAGCACTGATTTTGACTCATTTCCTATCTCCTCCCACCCACTTTCCCTCCAGTTACAAAAGCATATGAAGGGTCTGAGAGGGCCCAGCGGGGAAAGAGCAGCTCTGGGGCTGCTCACACACTGGAGTCCCTGGGACTTTGGGGCATCCTGGCTTCAGTTGGGAAAGGAGGGGAACCAGAGCACCGTACTTTCTGAGGAAGTCATTCTTCCTCCATCACCCCACATATATCTTCTGTCTGAATTCCTCAGACCACGTAGCCTGCCTCTACCATCTCCACCTCTGCTGGTCCTTCCTCCATCTCTGGTCTGCTCCACTGGTCCACAATACCTTTCTTTGGCTTCATGTCAGCAGTCTTATGAAGGAGCCACAATCAGCAGAATGGGATCTCCATAGGCCCTGGCCCCTGGGCTATGTGTGCTGCTTTTTTAATTTTAATTTTAATTTTTTTAAGCTTCTCTTCCTCTTCCACCCCAGTGTCCTCCTGGCTAAAGGACCAATGACCTGTTGTGGGCCCCAAAGCTATTAGTTTAATCCCACAGACTATACAACTGAGCTTACAGTCCAAGTTCCAAAAACACCTTCTAGGGTTATAGGAGAGGCTACACCTGCATTCAAGAGGCCTAGAATCCTGAGCAGCATCTCTAGGCTCTGTGGCACCCACTGCTCCCACTGAAGGTTGTCAGCACACTCACTCAGCAGCTCCCATGGAGGGGAGTTCATACTTCTGAGGTTTCTGTCTAATCATGATCCACCCTGAAGATCCCAGAACAGTGGTCTAGCGTGTAGGACTAGGTCTCCCAGCTCACCAGCCAACTGTGGCACAGCTCTTCCCAGTTCAGTTTGGAGAGGTCATGCTGGCAGAAAAAGGCAAACGCTACACGTCACAGCTCACTGTACCTCCAGACGCCAAGAAAACTGGCTTTCTGGCATAGCATAGTACCCAGTGGTTCCCATGCTCCTGCACAGTGGAATCCCCTAGAAGTCTTCAAGAAGTATTACCACTCACTTTCCACTCCCAGGCATAGTGATTCAATTGATGTCATGCCAGCCTGGATGTCAGGATGCTTAAAGCTCCCAGGTGGTTCTGATGGGCAGCAAAGTTGGGTGCCACCATATGGATGCCCCCTGGTTGGAATTCCAGCCCCCTGGTATCACAGACACAGCTGTCCTGTCCTAGTCTTGCCTACCTCTTTCATGTCCCTTGCCTTGGTTCTAGTGCCATTTATTCCCTGGATATGCTGTGAGGCCTGGGGTTAAAACAACAACCTGTTCTTTTCTCTGACACGCTTGCTTTCCTTGCCTGAGGCTCTAACCCTCAAGTCATTCCAGACAAGATGCCTGAAGAACCTCTTCCAGGCCCCAGAGCATCCTCACTCTACCCACTCTGGGCCAGCCTCCCCTCTTAAGAGCTGCCACCCAGAGATCAGCCTTCCTCTGTCAGAGCTCCATTCATGTAACAATGTCACGTGCCTGTCTCTTGCTTCTTGAAGGGAAGGGCTGTATCTGACCCTAGGTGCCCTGCGTACCCAGCAAATACCCCATGAATGTCCCCAGAGTTTGATTCTCTATCAGTCTGAGGCAGAGCAGAGAAGCAGTTGTCTTGTGTTGTACGTACCACTACATTCAGAGTCTTTGTGAAGATGGGGATCTCCTAATAACCCTAAGGACACAAAGCCACACTTGTGGCTTGTGTTAGTCTCCATATGTTTCTATTCTTATTAATAAGAGCTATTGTTTTGATTACTGTGGGTTCTAAATACTATTCTAGTATATATTATTATCACTCTATAACCATATGAGTAAGGTATTGTTGACCCACTTTACAGAACAATATACTATGGATTAGCAAAGGTAAGAATTTCTTAAACGCATATGGTTACTATGTGGGATGCCAGAATCTGAACTTGAACCCAGGTTTCTATGCCGTCCAAGCTTTCGCTCTGAATTCCTATGATAGATCGCCGTTTGTGATCAGAACACACATGGAGCTGCCCCATGGCACATAATGCATGGCCCAGTTTGGCCCTGGCTTCAGTTCTTTTCAATTTGGAGAACTTTTCCCTTCACCATTCTAGGAGTGTCTGTGTCACAAATCATCTCACTTCCTTAGTGGAACAAGGGAACAAAGACCAAAGAGGCACACAGACCACGGTGCTTCCAAGGACACAGGAAGCAGTTTTGGAGAGGAAGGAGACAGACACAGACAAGAGGCCCTAACCTATTCTGCACCTTTCCTCCAGTTGGTTCCATCATGTGACCCTCAAAGCACAGACCAGACTTACGTGTGTCAGACATGTGTCTGTCTGTGCCATGTTACAGGGAGAAATATCCTAAAGCAGCAAAGGGAGCAACCTCCCCTAGATTAATGACATGATAAATAAATGCTATCAGAAGCTCTATCAGAGAAGCCACTTGCTTTAAGAATAACATTTTTACTGTGGTTATTATAAACTACACAGTCTATCTGCACAGTATAGATGAAACTGTTAAAGGTACATGGGTACCGTGTAGACACTCGGGATATAGGACTTTGTACTGAGAGTACCATACCCATGACTATCTGCAGACAAATGATCATCTCTAGGTCTCTGAGCCCCCCAAACTCCCTCCCCACCCCTGGCAGAGCTCACATTCCCTGGGACAGCCCCAAGAAGGCATGACATTGCAGCTTAAAGGACAGACCATTCCCCAATATGTTTTTCATTTTTCATTCTACCTAAGCCAGAAGGAAGGAGAAAAGTTGGAAATGGACAAAGACAACCAGAACTGATCCTTAGCTTAATATTGACAGTTGCTATTGGATGGTGGTAGACTGCCATCAAGAACTGTCCCCATCTCTCTGAAGATGATGCAATCTCTCTTTGATAGTGGATAGTATTTAGAGGATAAGCATAGGTATTAGGTCTAAAAGCTAGCAAATCGCTAATAAGTCCAGTGAATATTCAGTCAAGCCTTTTGAAACTGTGATTGACGATTACACAGGGGCTTTGGTGAGGCACAAGTGTTAGGAGTATAAAAGGGCAACAGAGTTGCCATGTCTCCTTGATCAAGGGCCAACTGAGGCACAGCTATACCACAGCAGGGTCAGGCTGTGTCTGGAGCACTTTGAAGGTCAGGCTAGAGACAAGCACCAACTTACACAGGGAGATGACTAATAGGCTTGGTCTTGTGTTTAAGGTGAAGGGAGAACAGAACTCTGGGAATCCTAGCAATAAGACAGAAGATGGCCAAAGAAATTTTGGAAGTCTTTGGAGGAAACAAGAGAGAGGCCAGAACTATGAGGCTCCCTACTAAGGGCTATAGGAGAACTTTGGGGAGAAAAGGCAGACTGTCTCCTCCAGGTCCCTGAAGAGACAGACAGGCAGACTGTGGCCCAGGACAAGGAGGAATTTCTAGTCATCACAGCCACCTCCAGCAGGGCCTAGAGCTGGCTTCTCAGGACAGAGGTGAGAGGGTGGAACGAATTTCAAAGGGTTCTTCTCAAATTCTAAGATTCTACCATGAAATACTGCACAGTCTCCCTGATTCCTTTGTATGCTATGCTCACTCAAGGTGTTTCTAAAGGAAAATCCCAAGTCTCAAGAAAATCAAGTTTCAAGCACCCTCTTCAAACACCCTGGGCCCTAATGAGGGCTATCCCAGGAAACATGGGTTCTTCCAGGGATGAAGAAGTTGGATACAGGGGCTGGGGCTTTGTCATCGGCCTTCAGTACAAATGCCTAGATCCCCAGTCTATAGAGACAGGGGTGGGCTGGGGTTGCTTAGGCCTGAGCTGTAGCTGAGAGGAGGGTGATTAGCATTGGAACAGGTGTTCCAAGTGGTGCTGAGAAGCATCAAGTTAGATGCTATGGGTGTGGCTCAAGAGTCCAGACTGCAGGAGGCCCGGGGTTTGATATCTGGTGTGTGGGGGGATACATTCTAAAATTAGATCACAGAGCTTGTTACACAACTCTGTAAACACACAAAGACCCCACTGAGTTGGATGCTTATAGATGGAGTTTATGGTAGAAAAGTTGTATCGCACTAGAACTGTTTAATAAAGTCTCTGGGAACTGGGCATAGTGGCATACGCCTAATCCTAGCACTCTGTAGGCTGAGGCAGAAAGACTGCCTTGAGTTCAAGGTCAGCCTGGACTACACAGTAATTATCAAGACAGCATAGGCTACAATGAAAGACAAAAATAATAACAATAAAAAAAAACCTTTGGAAAGCTGTCCAGGGGATTTTCCCTGCTCCAGGCAAGTTCAAGATCAAGCCTTATGCTACCTCTCAATGCCTCCAGCCATCCTCATACCTCTGGGCTGTTCCTTTCTAATGGAAAGCTGGCTGTTAATAAGGTTTCACCCCCACTCACAGAACTCAGAGCCCCAGTGAGATGCTTAATCCATCCACCGCATACTAAGGACTGGCAGGGATGCGGTCAGTCCTGTCAGCACGGCATACCAGCAGCTGTGTGGAGGAGTTCATTTACTGGTAGCATGAGGTCAAGTCCAGGGCTGGGCTACAAAGCTGAACCCATGACCAGGGACGCTCTGAGTCTTGATATGTCAAAACACTCCTGAGAACCTAGCCCACAATGCCCTGGGCCTCTTGAGCCACTAGCTGACAATCAACCCCAGTCCCAAGAAAGCCCTGGGTAAGAAGAGTCAGGGACCAAAAGCCTAGGAGAGAGGCTTTCTGGAGATACTATGTCCCCTCGAGGCAAAGCGGAACATAGTGGTGAGTAGGAGGAATCCCCAGTCCCCTCCCCAAAACACCTTGTCGGAACCCACTCGAGGGAGCAGTGTGCCTTTCACTGATGACAGATGTACCCTAGGACTGTGTCCCCAGTCCCTGAACTCTTCTTAGGACACAGAGGCCAAATCCCTCTGGCACTACCCAAAGCCATGCTTTAGATGGCATGGGGTATTTTTAGAAATCACGGGAAAGCTCTACAATCCTCATGTGGCTCCACACGGGCTCCAAAGAGTGCCAGACCCATGATGTAGTCCCAAGGGCCCAATAGACTCTCCTGAGCCCTCTGGGAGAGTCCCAGCTGCCAGACTGTTCTCACTAGACTGAACTGAGGGTCTCTCTTAGGCCAGTCTCACCCAAGCACTTCCTGTGGGTCACTTCTTCAGCAGATTCCACTGCACTGGGTCAATAGCAAACATAACACATGCTGCTTGAGCCCCAAACCAGTGTGCCTGTTTCTACACACACACACACACACACACACACACACACACACACACATCCCACAGCTCAGCTCAACACAGTTGGGCTGAAACACAAAACCAAAATTATATCATGAAAGAAATACGTTTAAAGAAACAAACCCCTAATCAAAGACCAGAGGCGCAGTAAGACAGCGGAACGTCTTCTGTGTACATGACCTACCTGAAGCCCTGGCTGCTCCCAGAACAGCGGAACGGAGCCTCGGATCTGGACAAAGGACGACACTCCATCATCCATGTAAATCGTCTACAGCACAAGGAAACAGAAAGGGAGAGAGACGACTCTTCAATGAAACTGAACGTCCTGGGCCGTAACGGAATCCGTGCCTGTGACCTGACACCAGCTGGAAGGACAGCCAGTGGACTTCAGCGCCCCCTGCTCTCTCACCCAGCATGGCTGGCGCTGCTCCCTGACCACTGGCCAGACAGCAGGGCATGCTGGCTGCTTCCCGGCTTTCTGAAGAGGGGTCTGGAGCACACTCAAGGCCCCCAGATCTGGTGTCTGCAGGAATTCTTCTCCTAGAGTCTTCACCTTATCTACCTCCCTGAAAAGCCCAGCACCCACCTCCCATTTTAGAGCCAGAAGCAAACATGCTCAGGGATCTAAGACCTTTGCAGGGCCCTCTATTTTTACCTGCTCAATAGCTAAGAAACAGGAGCTACTGGGAAAAGGCTGAACCAAACAGACCAAACCAGCTCTACCAAAAATCCATCTGACTGTCCCTGTCAGTATTGTACTTGACAACAGAAGTCAAAACTCAGTGTGAACTTGATGTGGTCCTGGCCCTGTGCCATTCTTAAACATGCCACTCTGTCCACACATGTAGTTTCCATAATATATAGTTCCCTTGTAGAAACAAATGATGCTTAAATTAAAATAGTAATAGCAACGGCCTCTGCTGCTGGGTTTTGTAGTGGTCTACTGGCTTTCAATGATACCAGGGTGAAGAGAGTTGAAAGGACAAAAAGTACAGCCCTGAGCAGCCACAGGGGACAGCAGCGATTATCAGATGGCGGCCTTTATCTGTGCAACCCTACCCTGGCCTGGCAGGCCACGGCGGGCGCCATGGCAAGTCCTTTCCATTGCTCACGGGCCTGCTCCCTTACAGGGTAGCTTTCCACACAGACTAGATCATGCTCAGATCACACATGCATTAGTAATTCCGTTTGGGGGGAGGAGGCTGGACAATGAGACCCAAGGTACTCTGGACCATAGGAATGCCATGAGCCTAGTATCTATGTTGTGACTGTAATTCTAGCCTTAGCCTCCAGGGGAAAAAAGCACTAGGTTAGGAATGTGCTGTCTGTTTCCAGGTATTGGCTATCAGCAAATGTGTTACCTCCATTATTCTACCCACAGAGCAGGTTTGCTACACTGAGATCAAAGACACATGACTGATGTGCTGGTCAGTGGGCTTCCTTGCTGGGTCTTCAAGTTAGCTAACACTCTAATGTGAAGAGAACCATTTGCAATGTCCAGCATCTCAGTGGGCTTCCTTGGAAAGAAACCAAGTTAGCTAACACTCTAATGTGAAGAGAACCATTTGCAATGTCCAGCATCTGACGTAAGCCAAGGGACTTTCATGCTTCACTCCGATGACCCATTGGCTAGAAGTGCTACTTTCAGCCTCAATCTGGTTCCTTTTGAGTCCAGACTTCCTCAGAACTAGCTTCCAAAAACCCCAGCAGGGCATGTGTGGGGCACCTGCTCCACCGGGGCAAGCTTCTCTCCCTCCCCAGGATACCATCTATCTCTGAGTCCCCTCCCATTATCACCAGGTCTGTATATAACCCAGTCACCAGCACAATGAATCTTCTGCGGCACTTCCATGCTGAGTGAAAGAACAGCTTGAACCCTTGTACGGCTGTCTCCTTTCACAGGTGCCATTTTCACAGGGCATTTGGAGAGGGATGTGGGCTGGAGAAGGATGCAGGTAAGAACTAGGAGAGGCCCATCTGCCCAGCAGTGTGGCCCCAGGCACTTCACTGAATCACTATCAGCCTGTTTCTCTCTCTAAATGCAGTCAATGCCACCTGGTGCTCAGACAGTAACTTTAGGCACATAGTCCCAGCTCAGAACAGTCACTTGGAAAACGTCCCGGCTGTAGGTGGATGAGGCCACTTACAGAGTCAGGAGGGCAGAGCAGGGACAGGCACTAGGGCAGGTGGGGCTAGGCTGCAGCAAGCAGGGGTGGGGGAATAACAGACGGGATATGGAGGGAGATCAGAAAATGCTACGGTCCTAAAAGGCAAACAGGAACCCCAATACCAATGACACAGGAGGCCTAGTAGGGACAGTGACCTGGGCCTAAACAGCCAGGAAGGCCACCCTGAGCAGCCTCTTTCATGGAATGGTAAGAGAAGAAACCAGTGGCTTCAGGAAGGGAGAGGCAAACCATGAAAACACATAAATATGTGACGCTGTCATGTGGAAGGCTTATGGCAGGCTTCTGCTTCTAGATGTAGTGTTTACAAACCCATACCTTCCCATCTGCACCCTTGGGAGGGCACACACAGTCACCCTGGCCTTCCTGGGTTAGTCAGGAGTGGGATCGTCAAGAGCCAAATATTTATCATGCATCCTTTTGCTGACAGGACTTCTGGGTTTGTTTTTCCTCATAGTGAGTCACAGGCATGCACTGAGCCCACTGGTTATGACTCACAGCTGAACTGAAAAAAAATTCCAGGTTTCCTCTCAAAAAGCCAAGGGCACACAACACACAGTGCACACATACACCCACAACATGAGTGTACCATACACATCAAACAGTGTACATCATATACAAATGTGCACACATCGTACAAGCACAAATACATGGACTTACACACAGAACACATGCAACGTATGCATACACACACCACACAGGTGCATGGATGCAAAATGTACATGCAGATATACATGTGCATAGACAGACAGACAGACAGACAGACAGACACACACACACACACACACACACACTACCTATGTTCTTGCATGCCCAGGAGCAGGTAATGTCCCTATGGTCTGAGGAAGCAGAGGCCCTGCAGTAGGCACTCCAGGCCCCACAGGCCCTTGAGCAGATTCTGCTGAAGAGCTAAGAGCTGGTTTCCCAGTTGCCATTGAGGCCAGCCCGGGGAATGATGCCCCAGGTTTCACTTTCTCCCCAGCTTCATGTGGTTAGAATGCACTGGGACACTGGTGGCTGAGCCAGCATGGGCCCCCACTTCCCATGTGGTCTGCTAAGCAGCCTCAACGCACATACTCAATAAAGAACTGCTCTGGGTTTAACTCTACAACTTTCATGTCCAGTTGTGTGTCTGGTATAGATAGTGACTGTGAGGTTAAGTTACATATTCTCAGCTGTCTGTGTTTTAGACTGTACAGCAGATGACAGTGTCTGGCTGCCCATCAATAGTCCTGGGAGTCAGGTCACTGGGAACTTCATAGAGAAACCAGCAGTGCCTGGCCCAGAGGAGGTAAAGCGATTAAAAAAAATAAAACAAAAAAACCTAGGACACCACAAAGGCTTATGGGAGCCAAGAAATCCTTCCTCCAACCCTGAGCAGGCAGGGGAGGTTAAGCAGCAACAAGCTTCTATGGTTTCTCCCTTCTTAAATACATTTCGAAATTTAATCCCCATTATGAAATAGTGATTAGAGCTCTGCCTTTATCAACTGATTCAACCATTCATGCAATTAATATATTAACTGGTTATCTCGAAAGTGGATTTTCAAATAAAAGCCACTGTGGACAGGCCTCCTGCGTGCTTCCTGTCTCTTACCATATGTTGTTGGATCCAGAGGATCCGACACCCCATACCTCAGGACGCTGTCAGCAAGAAGGCCAGTACCAGATGTGGGCCCTTGACCTTAGCCCAGATAAGCCAAAAGAACTCTCTTTCTTTACAACTTACCCAGGCTGTGGTCCTGTTATAGCAACACAAAACAGACTAAGATAAGGCCTTACCTCCCTGGGAGTGGAGCAGGCTGTTCTTATCTTTAAGCTGAGCAGGCTGCCCCAAGGCGAAGGTTTAGATGTGGTGTAAAGGCCCTGCTTCTGAGTACTGAACAATGACTTGGGAAAATGGGGGGGGTGCACAGGGGAGGGGGGGGGCAACATGACACGGGGCGGGGGGGGGGCACAGGACATACAAGTCACTGGGTACACAGCCAGATATAACTAGAGCAAAGCTCAAGTCTGAGTCTGTGGAAATGCCAGTCTTAGAAAATGAGAAAAGCAAGATCAAAGGGAAATTTTTCCTAAGCTAAATGCCCTGCAGCCAAACACGGGCCTAATGTTATGGGTTCAACAGTATCCCTTCCAAAAAATATACTGAAGTCCTAACCACCAGCATTTCACACTGTGACCCTGTTTAGAAACAGGGTCTTAGCACACGTAATTGGCTAAGTGAGACCATACTGAAGGAGGTGATGCCTTGATCCAGTATGACTGGATCCTTATAAAGAGAGAAACAGAGAGGAGGAGTAACAGAAAGAAGCTCCCAGGAACCTGGTTATACCTGAGCCACAGAAGCTCAAAAAGTGAGGAAGAATCCTCCTGCAGGGACTTCCACGAGACTACCAGCCTGCTTGACCACGATTGCAGTCTCCCAGTCTCTAGAACCCTGAGAACAAAGACCTGTTGTTTTAACGACCCAGTGTGTGGTACTTTGTTATGGCAGCCCACTCTTATGTTCAGGTTTAAAATGTCCCATCTTGGGCCAGGACCAGAAAAGGTCACCAACAGCCAAAGCATAGAGGTGAAGATTCTGCAGGATGCTGGTCCTCAGGCAGGACTCCTTTATTAAACCTCACTCACCCAGGGCTCAGGAAGCATTGCGGAAGAGGGGGCAGAAATGCTGTAAGAGCTAGGGAGGAGGTGTATAACCATATGGAAATAAGAGTCCTCTAACCTCCTGGGGCCTTGCTCATACGAACCTACAGCAATGGGGTCAGCAAACTCAAGCAGTCAAAAACCAGTATAGAACAGGGGAGATGGACAGCAAGCCCCAATCCTAGCTGAAGAAATATTGGCAACTGATTACTGCTGGGTGAGAAAGAGTTGATCTTCCTAAAGTGAGACTCTAGATAGGCTGACTAGACTTCAGTGGATGAACTTGCACTGAGGGGATGTCTGGGGACACTAACTTGACACAATAGGCCTTAATACAAACGACAGAATGTATGAATTCCATTGTGGGAGGGTTGGCGGGGCTATGGGAGGGTGCCAGTGGGAGAGAGGGTATAAAGATGATTAAGATGTTCTGTATGAAATACACAAAAATTCAATTAAAAAAATTTTTTTAAGTCCCATCTTGGGGCTGGAGAGATGGTTCAGCAGTTAAGAGCACTGGCTGCTCTTCCAGAGGACCTGGGTTTGATTCCCAGCACTCACATGGCAGCTAACAACTGTCCATAACTCCAGTTCCGACACCCTCTTCTGAACTCGGAGCATTGTACGACATGAGCGCACTTGTATACATGCAGGCAATACATGCACACACATAAAATAAAAATAATAAATAAAAAACAGTGGAGGGCAGTCGTTTCTCTAATGACATATTTGATAAGATATAATAAAAGAGACCACAGTGTTTTTAAGCTGGTTGAAAGCTAAAGACCTGGAAACTATCCCCACCAGGACCAAAGAAGGGATCTTCCTTTGGGCTGGGCCCAGCGTTCCTCTAGGACCCAAAGGCAACCTCTGGAATCTGCTTCTGGTACCAGGTCCAGGGTCTGTGCAAGCCGATTTGCATCAACATTGCTTTCTGTCAGCAGTGTTATGTTCCTGGCACAGGACCCAGTTCATAGTAGGCAAAAAATAATGAAGATCTGTCCAAGAATGGAATGGTCAGAAATGTAGGAACACAAGCTAAAATAAAGGTAAGGCAGGAATGAAGGTGGAACACGAGAGCCTTTGGAAGTTCTTGTCACCATGCAGATATGAGCAAGAAAAAAGAAAGCAGCTTCCAATTGTGGGGACAAGTATTCTCTGTATTCTCACTCTTTTTAAACCAGATAGATTTTTTTTTAACAGCCATATGAATATCCAGGAGGGCAAGCGCCTCCCCAGATAGTAAGTACACCTGCAGACCTTGTGAGGGCTCTCTCTCCAATGTCCCTCCTATGAGCAGTGATTCTAAGAGGAGCCTCACTTTTGTACCTTCAACAGGCACAGTGAGTTCTCTCAGGGTGGACCCCTATACTAGTTTGAGTAAATCCTGAATGAGCGCACAGAACCTCACACTCAGTAGAGGCAGATGTGCAAACCTGTGCTGGAACCCATGGGTTGAAGCCTCACAGGATGCCACTGCACAGCCACAGAGTGAGGAGGGCTGCAGAGCCGCACCTGCAGGAACGCATGGGGTGCTCGTGGCTTGCCGCCCAGAGCAGCATCACACCTGCACCTCTCTGGGGTTTTCCTTCATTCCACTAATCCCACCTGCTGTGCTGCAAGGTGGCATTATCCTTCAGGGTGCAAGTCAGAGCAAAACAGGACAGGTGTAAGACAGCCTCTCTGGGAGTGAGATCAGAAGGTAGGAAAAGCAACATGGAGGCATTCTACAGATGGTTCCCCTCTGAAGGAGCTGACAGCAGCTGCTGTTCCATGCGCACGTCACATCTCCCAGGTGCTAACATGCTTCCAGAATGAAGCTTTGGCTGATGGGAAATTTTTAAGTTTCTCCTCTCATTGTATTGTCCTAAAAAGATTTTCCAGCTCCTAGTGCAAGTGGTACTTTCAGACTGAGGCCTCCATTCCAGATTCGTTTTACTTAAAGCATACTAGAGGGCTAGGGAGATGGCTCAGTTGGTAAAGTGCCTGCCATGCAAGCCCAAGGACCTGAGTTCAATCCTGAGCACCATGTAAAAGCCAGACACAGTGGCACGCGCTGGTAATCCCAGCACTGGATAGGTAGAGACAGGAAGACCTCTGGGGCTTTTTGGCCAACCCCACTCTAGCCCAATTGGTGAGCTCTAGATTCAGTTATATACCTAAAAATAAGGTGGACGCAATTAGGGAAGACATGTCTGGCCTCTGCATGTGCACACGTGTGCTCGCACACACCTTAAATAAGCAACATCTTTTCAGAATGAGGTGTGAATCAAAAAGACAGGCTGTGCAAAGCAGAGGCCACATTTTCAAGTAGCACTCCAGTTACATACGAGGAAGAAGCCATGATCAGAAAGCCGCTCACATACATTAGGGCCCCTCTGCTCACAGTAGAAAACATACTTCTGTGAGTCTGTGGGTTGTATTGACTTTGAAGCACTCAGTGCCATGGACAGGCCTGGATACTCACCTGTTCTGTCTCCACGAAGTTGGACACATGGCCATCATCATTCACACCGCGCGTGAGGAATCGAGCACCAGCGCGCTCACAGCTGATACGAGAGATGAGACAGGCCTTGGCCTGCTTGTGCGAGGCATAAACCGTGCGGATGGTCACCACCCCACAGATGACTTTCAGCAACCAGTCACTGCAGCTCACCTGGTGCTGCCTCAGAGGCACGTGCAGTAGCTGGTTCCTGCAAAACAGTCCATAACCAGTTTGGGTTACCTTCAGGCCCTACAAATCCCCCACACAAAGCCAAATATTAAGGAGCTCCCTGTAGGGGCCCAGGGCTCAGTTAGATGAGGCAGTTGTGCAGAAATTTCCTCCCAAAAATTCCATTCTGGAAGGAAACTCCTTAAGATTCAGGAAGTCCTAAAGGAAAAAGCTCCTTAAAACTCAGGAAGTAGCCAGGCGTGGTAGCACACCCCTTTAATCTCAGCACTTGGGAGGCAGGGGCAGCCAGATCTCTATAAGATTGAGGCCAGCCTGGTTTATATAGCAAGTTTCAGGCCAGCTAGGGCTACAGGGACACCCTGCCTCAAAAATACAACTCACAAATCTCAGGAAGTCTCTGAAATTTCTTAAAATCCCAGGGTCCTTCCCTCTTCAAGGCTAGTAAAGGCTACTGAAGAGAGAAAATTGCTCACCTGTGACCCAAAGCGCTCCCTGAAAGGGGTACAGAGAGCTCCAGCTTTCCTGAGTCACCATCCAGCCTGAGGTGGGCTCTCAGTGATGCAGCTGCCTGAGTCATACCTGTCCTGTAAGTAACCCCCATCATTCTCCTGTAAGTAAGCCCAATGGGCTCAGTGATTCACCAAGTTGTACTTTGGTGGTATTGTCACTTTGAGCCATTGTCAGTACCCTATCTGTGGTGAGTAGATGTTTGTTCATGTCTCCCCAGGAACAGTGTCATATATCAGAGGCAAACACCTACTGCTTCATAGTGTACCCTGCATTTAGGACACAGATCCAGAAAGTTCTGTGTTTCAAAGATCCCAAATGGCAGGGCCAGTGTAATTTGTACAGGAGAAAGGGGCAAGAAGCCCTTTACTGAAGTTGCTACCAGGTGACAGGATGGACCAGAGGGCCCAAAACTGAGTGGAGGCACCAGGCACCATTCAGGGACTTTAAAAGAGGCCTTTGTTTAGACCTGTGCCTGCCACGTTTTGATTAGAATAAAAAATTTACCGATAGGCCTGGAGACATGGCTCGGTTAAGAGCATATACTGCTTTTACAGAGGACCCAAGCCAGGTTCCCAACACCCACATGGGTGGCTTACAGCAGCCTGTAATTCCTGCTCCATAGGACAAAATGTCCTCTGCTGGCCTCCGTGGGTACTGCATTCACACACCCACACACAGACTCAGAGGTATATACATAATTAAAAGCAAAAATAAATCTTCAAAAATCTACTCATGTTTTGATTAAATAATAATCACGGATTAGCCGGGTGTGGTGGCAAATGCCTTTAATCCCAGCACTCAGAGGCAGGCGGATCTCTGAGTTTGAGGTCAGTCTGGTCTACATAGTGAGTTCCAGGCTAGTTGGGGCTCCTGGGAGACCGTGTCTCAAAAAGATCAAAAAAAAAAAAAAACCATGGTCATGGTTAAAATGACAAATGATAAAGTACCAAATATGCACATATCATACATAGAATGAGTAAATAAGATGAAAGCAGTGCAAAGAAATCCAAAATAAATTTAAATATGATATGAAAAGAAAACCTAATGAAAGCTCCAGGATTTATTTCCTCTCCACACCGTGTGGACTGTTCTGAGTGCTGGAGTCTGTGATGATAATGATGGTGGAACCTGCACAGGTGCACAGAGCACCATTCCAAGCACTCTGGGGTAGACTGACTTAACCCAGCCTTGCGGTGACCCCCTGTGAAAGGTATTATCAGATACTCCATTTTATAAAATCCTAGGCACAAGAAGTGAAGTACTTACCCAAGTTCAAAGAGCTAGCAAGTGCCAGTATACTGTTCTTCAGCCCAAGTCCCTGGTTTTTATTTTATTTGCTACATTACTATTTATTATTGTTATTATTATTGCAGTGCTGGTGATCACACTCAGGGTCTCATGCTAGGTAGGCGAGTCTTCTTTCACTAAGTCACATCCCTGCTTCAGCCCCTCTAGATGAAGGCCCTACAGTTACCCAGGGCCATGTTACTCTCCCATCCCCATGAATCAGCCTCCTTCACCCCAGAGGCCCTGAGCATCACGTCTGGGTCCTGTCACCAGGGAATTTTCTCTTATAGAGTCTGAAGCAAATCTAGGTCACAGTGCCCTACTTGCTTAACAAAGGCAGCTGATTTCTGCCCTTCAGCTTCCTCAAAGACAGTTCCCTCCTGGAAATGGGTGCTGCGGTGGATCTCTGGTGTTTCTCAAAGCCTCTGCTCTCAGGTCAGCTTCCTAGAATGTGACCGCCGTCACTCTCCCCTGTGGGAGCCCTGCCCCTCACCTGGGCTCTTGCAGGTACAGTACTGCCCTGTGTGAAAAATGGCTAAGAAACCAACCTCACAAAAACAGGCTGCTTCTTCTATGTCACTCTCTGAACTTCTGATGATAAATCACCATTACTAGACATGTTAAATCTGCCCCTGGCATAGCGGTCAGGCCTCCAGACTCCAAAGTCACTAAGGCCCCTGTCACCAGAGGTACAGGGAGGAGCCTCTGTCAACTGGACAACTCAGTGTTGACCCTCTGAGGAGAACAGCTCAGATCCCAGGAAGAAGAGCTCCAAATCCACAAAGGAAAATAGCTTCCAAACCTCTGCACAAGACCTTTCCATCCTTGGCCCACAGCTTCAGGGGCCAAGGCACACGCTGGTCCCCACAGAATGGAATTAGAGATCACAGGAAGCTGGCACCTGGCACCTATAACTGCATAATGTACAGGCACACCTGTGCAACTTGTTGGAAATGTGGAAGGAATCTCAGACCCAGTCCTGACCTGCTGTACTGGAGCCTGTATTGTAACAAGGCTGGCAGTATTTCATTCTAAAGTCTCACTACATTAACTGGCAAAAACTCAATCACAGTAGAGGTAATAGAAGGCTATAGGGGCAGGGATCTGGGGGATGCATGTGGGGAGGTGATGAGGGTCACTTTCTCAACAGAAGTCAGGAATTCATGAGCAGGGAGCCGAAGCCCCAAGGAAAACCTTCACCCCACCATGGGAACCTCTGCTGACCTCTATGGGCAAAAGGAGGCAGGCACCAAGAAAAGGGCAGGGATAAGCCTCTGTATCTGTCTCTGGAGACTGGTGGCTCCAGAGGGAGCTGCTTGGATTCTAAAGCATTGTTAGGCAAGGTTTGCTGGAGCACCTACAGCAGGGTTCCCACCTCTCTGGGTCTGCCTGCTTCTCTTCCATCTCCAGTGAGTCTGAGGAAAGCAGCACTGTAGAGCAGGCCTGGGCATTGTCCCTTGTAATCACTACCCCTCTCAGCTCCCATAGTACAGGGCAGGGTCATATGGCCCACAGAAGGGCCCATAGATGGCTGACATATGTATGGGGCCATATTCTCTCATGAACTCTACACATGCAGGATATCCCCTACCTTCAGCTTATCTGCTCAAGTTAGTACAAGTCACTTGGGGCAAATTGACTCTGTTTCCCCACATCTATAGGGATGGTTAAGCTTTGTGGTTACCATCTCGGGGTGTAGAACCAAACTGTCTGGGCTCAAATCCTGGCTTAGCACCCTCTAGGCATGTGGAGTTGGGCAAAAGCCCCCCAACAGCTCATGCCTCAGTGCCCAGATCTATAAAATGAAGTAGTAGAGCAGACCCTCCCTCATAGATAATTATGAGAATTCTAGTCATTACATGGGAGAGATTAGAATGCTGCTTAGCACCTAAGTGCTTTATAAATATCAGTGGTAAATATTTGGGCATGGATAACCAAACCTTTTGAGCTGCTCCAAAGAGCAAACCCAGGCAGAAGCCCTGAACACAGAACCAGGCCCACAGGAAGCCCTTGAAGGTGAAGCCCCAGTGCTCTTTGCTTCTGGAGATTTTCTTTTCTAGATCTACCTGGGACTCCATGAACACCTTCCTGAGCCTGCAAGGTTGGGATGCTGGGTAAGTTATCGTCTCTCCTTTCACAGAGAGAAGGTGTGGCTCTCAACTCCATAGTCAACCCAGAATTCTGTCTGCAAATGCAAGATGGAAAGCAAATGTGACCCAGAGTCTGCCCTATGACCCAGTGTCTCACCAGAAGAAGGAGGTCCCCCACTCAGAGCTGTCATCACCCTGCTTCTGCGCCCTGACAGTCAGATCAAAGCAGGAGCCATCATTGGGCCATGCGAAATAAAACACTCCCGAGCTCAGGATTTTCCTCAGGGCAAGCAGGCGATCCTCCTCCTTGGCTTCTTCCTGTAGAGAGTAAAACTCTGTGGCGGTGATTTTGTAGATCTCTGCATCTGGAATTCTGCCCACAGACGTGCAGCCTGTCACCAACACTAGAAAGCTCAGATGGCCACCACCTGGAAGAGACATTAGAGAGGAAAGCTGAAGGGCCATTGCTGAGTGCACCCAGAGTTAACCCAACCCTAACCCAAGGGCCAAGGGCAGTGCTTCCCAGCCACCCCAACTCCCCCAGCAACAGCAGTTCCACAGCCCATTAGAAATGTAGATTCCCGCCCAGCCCAGAAACCCACCTCTGCCCTAACAGACTCTCAGGTGATTCTGATGTGAAGGGCTTCCCAACCACAGCCCTTTCCCTTCCCAACCCATCCTCCTCCTCGCCTCCCAGCTCAGCTCTGCCCTGGCAGGTTGGAAGGAGGGATGTGGGTCCCAGATTTCTAGCTTCTGGAACAGCACAAGCCTTTGAACCATTCTCCCTTCCTGACCCTAGCCCTCTTCCATATCCAATGCCTTCCAATCTACCTTCCTTACCACCCTCTCCAGCCACTTCCTGGACTCCCTTACAGCTATAGCAGATGTGGCCTTCTCAAACCCAGCTGACAGCAGACCTTCCTGCTCAAATCCTTCTGTGCATCTCACTGGCCCCCAGGACAGAAATGGAAGACCCTTCTGAGGCCTCCTGCTCTGCACTCTGCCCTGTCCCATCCCTGCCCCACATGTGGATTGTTCCTAGGCAGCTGCTCTCCAGGACTGTTCTCTGCTGTTCCTTAAATGTGCCACATCTCCTTGAATTTGCTCTGTGGTTTTGCAGGAGACAGCCGCCCCCCGCCCCCGCCCCACAAATGAAATAAAGGTCCCACTGCAAGGAACCCATTCCCATCTCCCCATTCCCCTCCCTGCCTCAGCTCTGCTCTGGCAGGGTAGAAGGAAGAACTTCAGGTTCCAGCCTTCCACCTTCTGAACACTATGAGACTTCCTTCCCAACTGGGTGAACTCATGCCCCTCCTTCTAGTCCATACACAGCACCTACTCCAGGAAGCCTTTCCTACTCTCCCAAGACACAGTTGGGTACGCCTCTCTGTTTCAAAATCTCCCTAGCAACACTTGGCAGCAAACCCAGCAGCCTCCTCTCCACCTATGTCCTTCAGCAGATGGAGCTCTTCAGGGGCATGATTTAGTGCCACTTGGTCCCCCAGCAGCACAGGTGTGTGAGCACTTCCTAAACAAACTTCTGTGCAGGAGACTGACACACCCTTCTCCAAGACCCTGTCATATTGTCCCTGGCTGCTCATTTTCTGTCCTGTGTATCCTATTTCATAACACACGCTAACCAAGTCAGGAGATGGTGGCAATGCTGTGCCCCCTTCAAAGGACAGGGCCCAAGAGACACCCTCTTGGGGTAGATAATGGACCTGGATTTATCAGGAGGATGATCTTCCCACTCTGCTGAGGTCTAAGGGCTCTATTCCAGCAAGGTCTACTCCATATGGACAGCAGCTACTCACTATCTGAACTGATGCTCTGCACCGTCCTCACACTTCTCCACAGTCTGATAAAAGACCACAAAAATAGCCAATTCCACCCCTGCCACAAGCTGCCTTCTTATACTTCACTGGAAGAGTGCAGCTCAGGAGAGGGAATGACTGGTTTTTATTAAAGTGCAGTTGCTGAATAAGTAGGTCATGGCTCACACATGCTGGCTGATGCACTGTGGGGAGGAAGGGTGCCCACAGGGCCAGGATATTGGTTTCACTCATAGCTCTGCATGTGCATCCTCAGGAAGTCATTTTGAAACAGCTGCAGAGGCAGTTGCCCTGTAGGACAGGTGAGTTGGTTGGGGCTAACATCCTCAGGGCTGCAGGCAGTCCCACAGCCTTGGCTGGAAAAAGTCTGCAGTACTTGGTCACCTTAATGCTGAGGAAAAGCAGTGTTCATTAAAGTGCCTCCAGCATGGTCAAGGAAAGGCCCCATAGTCTGGGGTGGGAGCTCAAGAAGAGGCATGGAAATTTTTGCTTTCCATCCCACATGGAGCCAAGAAGTGGATGGCTAGCCCCACTCTCTTAGCCTGTATGTGGGGCCCAAGTCCCAAGCTGCTCTGAAGGCAGCCAGCATCCCTACACAGGCCAGAGGCCTGGGGGGTGGGGGGGTGGAGAAGGCTGTATACGGTAGGTACAGGAGGTTCTTACAGAGAATGAGAAGAAGGGAAGGTGCCATTCAGCTAGGGCAGGGCTCTAGAGGGTACAGGTGATTCAGCCACCACCAGGAGAGAGCGTGGGAGCCAGGCACTCTACTGTGGCTAATACTTAGGATGGTGAGGGGCTACATAAACATTGACTTAATCATCCCAACTGCTGCTATTGTTAGCCTACTTTATAGAGAGGGAAAAGGAGGCACAGGGAGGTTAAGTAGCCTAAGGTGACCAAGTAGGGGAACTAGAATCCAAGTCTACTTTCTGGCTATACCACCTGGGCAAGTTACTCAAGCTAAGCCTGGCTCCACAGCTGGTGTGCCTTTCCTGGCAGATGGTAGTGCCAATGGGCCTAACAGCACTGCTCTTGAGGGCCACCATCACCATTTCACACATGAGTAATGCCCAGGCATGCTACTAGTGTGGGTTGGAATTAAGTTGCAATCAAGGGATTCATTTTAAAGCCCCAGTCTGCCTGCCCCCCGGCCTTTTGGCATCTTGATCTTAGACCACCAGCCTTTAGAGCTGTGAGAAATAAACATGTTTGTAAACCACAGCTCCTGTCTACAGAACTATGCTATGGTAGCCAAACAGCCCAACACAGTACTCTTTGCACCTACATGGTGGCTATGAACTGTCCTTAACTCTAGTTCCAGGGGAATCCAAAGCCCTCTTCTGACTTCCGCGGCATTGCGCGGCACGGGCAGTTAAGAGCACTAGCTGCTCTTGTGGAGGACCCAGGTTTGATTTCCAGCACCCATGTGGCAGCTAACAACCATCTGTAACTCCAGTTCTAAGGGATCTGATGCCCTCTTCTGACTGCAGCATTACATGACACAGGTGTACTTATATACATGCAGGCAATATACTCATACACATTAAATAAAAATAATAAAATATTCTTAAAAAAATAAAATGTGCCGGGCGTGGTGGCACATGCCTTTAATCGCAGCACTTGGGAGGCAGAGGCAGGCAGATCTTTTTGAGTTCATGGGCAGCCTGGTCTACATAGTGATTTCCAGGCCAGCTGGGGCTACATGGAGACCTTGTCTCAAAAAGACCAAAACCAACAAAACAAAACAAACCCCCCAAACAAAAAACTAGAGACTTTAATGCCTTCTTTTTAAAATAGAGAACTTGGGAGGGGGCTGGAGATGGCTCAGCAGTTAATAGCACTGACTGCTCTTGCAGAGGACCCAGGTTCAATTCCCAGCACCCACATGGCAGCTACGAACCATCCTTAAGTCCAGTTCCAGGGGAATCCGAAGCTCTCTTCTGACCTCTGGCAGCTTTGCACAACACAGGTGCACTCACATACATGCAGGCAATACACTCATTATTTTTTTTCCAGCTTTTTGTTGTTTGTGTCTTTTACCCACTTTTATTTTATCATTATTATTATTTTTTGATACAGGGTCTCCCTGTAGCCCCAGCTGTCCTGGAACTCACTATGTAGACCAGGCTGGCCTTGAACTCACAGAGATCTGCCTGCCAGAGATCCACCTGCCTCTGCCTCCGGAGTGCTGGGATTAAAGGTATGTGCCACCACGCCCGGCTAAAATCAGTATTATTTAATGATAAACTCTTTAAGTTCTTACTGCCAGAACCTCTCAGGTATCATTTCCTTATAAATAAGTACAGTGGGGGATGGGCAATTTGATTCTAATTGGCAACTGTGGGATTCTTGATGCCTTGAGCAAAAGGGCTGACAGTCAGTCAGGGGATATCCTTATGCTAATAGCAGCTGTTTTGAACACTTCACAGATGCCCTGAGAAAACTACACAGTGATCACAGTTGCTCTGGCTCCTGAAGGCACAACTGTCACTGAGTCTGTTTGAAACCCTTTATACCAGACATTTTTGCTATCAGAAGCCTAAGTGAATTCTAGATGGCATTGCAACTACCTAGGCCAGAGGGCGAGCCCTTCCCAGAGGCCTAGCAAAGGCACTGTTGTGGGTGGTGTAAAGGGACAATGCAATAATTGGTGTAAACATAAACCTTCATTTATATGCAAAGTATGCTGTGATTGGTACAAATACAAACCTTAATTTGCATGTGAAGTGCAGTCTGATTGGTCCAAATACCCCTCCTCAGGCTTTGTAAAGCAGGCTGATCAGGCTCACTTAGTGAGAGGGCTATGAGACACCCTTCTGTGCTGCCTGCCCTAGGATTGCAACATTAGGCAAATAAAAGTCTTCTCTCAAGGGGCCCAGGAGCAATAAAAGTGGCAAGGCAGCCAGCAGGAATAGACAGTGAAGCAGTTGAGAGTGAGGCCACAGCAGGAACAGGAACAGCCTGGACGGACGCTTAAGAGAATAGACAGCTGAGGCCAAAGAAGCACAGGTTGTGAAGAGCCAGAGAAGAGAGACTATAGTCCCTGGAAAAGGTCAGGAGCTACTAAGCCCAAGCCAGGGGTCTCAGACAACCAAGGCCTGAGAGCTTCAACACTGGCTGCTGTCAAGGAATGAGGAATCCCGGTATCTAGGCCTGCCCTGAAGCTTCAGTGTCAACTGCTGCTCAGGGCTAAGGACCCCTGATGACTTCCTACACAAGGCCTACATGAGAGCTGGAAGACCTGCATAACTAAGGGTTTTGATACCAGACGCCTGCATGAGAGCTGTAACACTGGAGGACACTCCCTGCTGCTGCGTCCACCTGTCTGCTGCCATCACCCATGGCTGTCAAACACTAAAGGATACAAAAGCTGCCATAGCCGGGTGTGGTGGCACACGCCTTTAATCCCAGCACTCGGGAGGCAGAGGCAGGCAGATCTCTGTGAGTTCAAGGCCAGCCTGGTCTACATAGTGAGTTCCAGGACAGCTGGGGCTACAGGGGAGACCCTGTCTCAAAAAGGCCAAAAAAAAAGCTGCCACGACCAGCACTTGAAAAGCTTCTCCCTGCCTACCCACAATGCCTATCTGGGTAGAGCA